CAATTTTAATTTTTTGCGGATCGTCTATGAGTGCTTCCACCTCTAAATCATGGCTTTTCAAGATCTGCTCTTTCGTTTCTAATAGTTCCAGTAGTTCTGATAATGAACTTACGTCTTCGACGGCTTCATCAAGCTTCTGCACTCTTTTAACTAGTTTAGTAACACTAGCGCGAACGTTACTTCTTTTTTCAATTATTTTCGAAAGCTTATCCATATTAACTCAGAATTTGTGAGTTCAAAAGATCTTACCTCCACAGTCCAGTATGCAATGTTACGTATCCAAAAGCGTACGTAACAGTATCCAAACTTCTCAGAACTATAATAATGATGACTAATTACTTCCGATATTCCACATTCGCGGACAAGATGCACCAATTTTGCATCTAATGGTTCTGTGAGACTAAAGGTGCATCCAAGAGATAATAGGAGGTTTTGTAAACAATAACAACATTTATTTACAAGAAAATATTTGAAAATTTCAATCAATTAGAGATATATTATTAGGCATCTCTGCCTTCCATGTCCTACAGGTTTAGTATCCTGCCTGCCACTGACTATTGGGACGAACATAGCGCCCTCTAGTCAGAATGACGCTGGAAATATGTAATAGGCTATACAAGGAATTCATGTGGTATCCAGATCAGACGTTTTACTTGTAGCTTCACAGTTTCAGAAACCTAACACAAGTAATAATTTATAATTTTTAAATAAAATTGTTAAAAAGTGCCTTTCTGATAAATTACAAATGATATTGAAATTAATTAAATGAATATGTGTATGATTATGGCAAAGCCTCGAGGGCCATCTGCCTAAGGGGAGGGATGCCTTCGTGGAGGACTTTCTAAGGGAAACTGGCTCGTATACACGTTACACATGGGGAAAACCACGAAAACGCCCATGCAGCCAGCCCGTTCACGGGATTCGAACCTCGGACCGAACTACCAGTGTTCAGCGACTTTACCGCTCGGCCGCTGGTGGGCCCAATTAAATGAATATGAAAAGTATCGTAGTAATTAATAATCTTTTTTTGTAATTTAACACTTCTTGCTTTTAACTAAGCATATCGATAATAATTTTTTTTTCAAAATCTACTTAATTGCATAATGTATGTTCTATAGAAGGAATAACTACGTCTGAAAGTCCCCCCACCCCATCCAAAGGAAGTTTTTACGTAATTTTTTTATTATTTTAAGTTTACTTAAGCTTTTTTCACGCTGATAGTAACTGACAAACTAAAAATATTCTTAACACAGTTTCCAACTTTAGATGCCATTCTATAAAACTGTATTCTTGAATTAATCTTAAGCAATTTAATGTTCATTTTGTGATTAGAACTATTGAAACAGCGTAATTTTCAAAACTAGATCATTTCTAATGATATTTCAAGAGCACTTATATTATTTGGATATTTCAATGCTAAGTTATTGATTGGCACTCTTTCTGAAATACCTAAATCCATTGGCAATAAATTGATTGTTATCTCTTTTAATAAATTATACCTCTTTTAACTGTGAGATTAGAACAAATGCTATGAAAAAACATTTTCCTAAAAAATTAGCTCTTCTGTCAGTTGTTCATTATCAGTCTGAGTTAGTAAACATTTCCTTAAATTTTGTTGATACATTTTTTTTTACTTATTACGTGCTCCACCCTTAGTCATTACACGTGAAGGGAGGGATGCACCGTAGAGTATTTTTTAAGGGAAACTTGCTCGTATCCACGTTACACATGGCGAAAACCACGATAACGGCCATGCAGCCAGCCCCTTCGCCGGGACCATGGAGGTAGGAAATTACTGGAACTTTAGTGTTTAGTGAACCTTAGTGTATTAATGGAATCATGGAGGTAGGAACTTTCTTACCTCCTTGAAGCAGCCAACCGCTTCGCCGGGACTGGACCCCCCCGACCGAACTACCAGTGTTCAATGGCTCTTACTAATGAGAACTGCATTCACGTTACACATGTTGGAAACAACGGAAATACTACTGACGTGTGTTAAAAGAGTGTGATATCCTAGGTAAAGTTTTTGACTAAAAAACTTTATTTATCTTTTTTGTTCCTTTCAGTATTAAATTCTGCTCAGATAAAATACGTAAAATTTTATACCGATTTGCTTAAAAAAAGATTATTATTTTGAACCCATTGCAATGATTTATCATTTCTCACTTTATATATTAGATGCATTTATATAAATAAATCTATAATAAAGAGCAGAAATTTACGTAAAATTCATGATAATAGTTTTTCTCTGCTGTTAACAAAATTAATTTGTTAATATATGAGGTTTATTTAATTTACATAATAGTTATTAGTCCAAAGGGGCAATTTGCCCTGAAGGACTATTATTTTCATTTTGGCATTTTGTGTTGGTTATCTATAAATGTCAGATTCACTTTTCAAATTGTATAATTTTCAATATTGTATTGTCAACCACCAAATATTATCGCCCTGCATTATATTTAAAGAAATTAAATAATGAAAAATCTGCATTTGGACGTAATTTAAAATCTGAAACGTTTCAGATTTTATTTATTTATTTATTTTTTTGTTTATGTTTGGAATCTTTACTGTCATTTCTCTCTTTCTATTTTCTCGTCAGAATGCGAATGAACTCGTGTGGGGATCAGAGCGTGTTTGGCCGTTTGAAAACCACGTTACAAGGTTTTGGTATCTTGATAAGACTTCCTGTCTTCGGCGTTGCTTCTTGCCGATAGTTTAAATTAACGTTCATGTAGTCCAAGGCAATTTCGGATTAAATTGTTCTGTGTAGATTTTGGATATTAGGTATTTAAATTTAGCTTACATTTGAATTTCTACCTTTGAGCTCTCTCCATAAGTGTTGGCGGATTTGTAAGTAAGAGAAGTGCCTTCTGGTCATCTTCTCGAGTTTAAAATAAAAGGATCTTTTACACCCTTCTCAAATTTTTGTATTTAGTTTTAGACATTGTGATAAGTCATTTTATCTAATAAAAAGTTTAAGTTACATTTTACAGTAGTAAATGACATTAAACGTCATAAATAATTAGTAAACTTTTTGATTTGGTTCGAGTAGCTGATAAAGGAATGTAAACTGACTTGCAGTTACGTTGCATGTGGAAAAAATGCGAAAATATATATTAAGAATATCCATGCTGGACTTTGAACCTCGTATGAACTACCAGTGTTCAGTGGTTTTAACCAAAAGTCTTTGATAGTAATGATTTTCTAACCTTATTTACTTCCGAGCTAAACTTAGTTTTTTTTAGGGGGGTGTTTGCTTTCATTTTAATATAAATATTCATGCAGGGAAAAAATACCTTTTTACTATAGTTATATTTTAAAAACAATGTTAATTTACTAACAGAATTTAATGATTTGGAGACATTGTTTTTAGGGAGGACATTACTTGCTTTCGCAAAAGTCAGAGCTTTTTGTAATTTCCAGTAATCAATTACCCTAAAATCAGCCGGAACATTTTGTGTTAATTCCTGCACAATAAAACTCAAAATTTTAAAACTCCTGTTTTATTTCTGTAAAGCTAAAACATTCATGGAAAAAAAAAAAAAAAAAAAAAAAAAAAAAAAAAAAAAGCCATGTCTTACCTTGACGCTTTAGATTCCAGTTTTTACTTAATCCGTCTAGCAATAATTGTAGCTATTCCATTAATAACCGTAAATGAATCCAAATGTTAGATTTCCGAAGAAATTTATATATTTAAATATGCTCCATTTAGAAAAATTTCGATAGAATTCAGTATTCCTGAAGAAATTTTACCACAGTTTCTTCCATTGCTGGCAAATTCCACAAATTCCATACTTTAAAACTAAGATCCAAAAATATGATGATTTGTTTATAAAAACCGTCTGAACTTGGAATACAATGAAAAAATGAAAATGGCGGACTTGCTTGACTGATGATAGTTATGGGCATGGTTGCCAGAAGAATGGTTATGTGCATGGTTGCCAGAGTTTGGCAGATTCTGAAAAGCTTCTGTTAAGGTGGTTGCGTTGTGAGTACCGAAAACATATATATATATATAGTATTCTAAAACTGCAGTACTTTTGACAGTAAATTAATGTCATCAATGTTTCTCTTAATTAAGCTACATTATTTTTAATAAAAAAATTCTAAACCCCTTTCTTGAAATTAATGGAAACTTTACAATAAAAATTGTTTATGAAAGAAGCGAGATTGCAAAAGCTAATAAATTAGATCAGTTAATTCGTATTTAAATAATTTTGCTCCTATTACGTTAACCATATGTTGCTAATGTTTTGTAGCCATTTTGGCTCCATTTTATTTGATTACCTGAGACAGTTGTCTTACTTGCCAAACCCTTTTCTAGGCTGTGTGTAATACGACAGCATCTATATATGGATATGAAAATATATCTTTGAAAAACCTTTGCAGCATTAGTTAAAAAACAAAGCATTTCCAGTATTTGCCTTCTTTGCATAATTAAACATTTTTTAGCAGATAATAATTGTATGATGCCAATTCAACCTCAGTAATTTTGAGTACAAGTAATTAATTCAATGTATTCAAATTCTTGCAACATTTTTCAGTTTGAAACAACCACTTTTTTTCCCCATTCCCACGTCATATCGTCTCTCTCCTTCCCTTCATCCTCATTGTCAGTTATGTCTGACAGCAAAATTCCTTTGACGATAGTTTGAATTTTGTTGCTAAGCGCGTACTTTTGAGATCGCGTAGTTCATATTTGGTTTTCAGCAATACCCTCAAAATATTCAATGTGCCGTGTATTGAGCAATGTTGTAACCGGATATTGCTGTACACTTGTTCATTTAAATTCGCATAATCTTAAAGGACAATGGTTTCCAACGTACCTTTTAAATTATAAATTACCATAAGATTTAAAAATCACTCTTTTTAGCGGTATGCTTTTGAGAACTATCAACCTGATATCATCCACTACAGAATGATAAATTATATTTCTACTTTTATCAGTTAAGCTTAGTCAGTATTTACTTTGATGATTGTCGGAAGGTTCTTGATACACTCTTCACGTGCTCTTAAAATCAAGATGTAGATTGCGGGCATCCCTAAAACTTGAAAAGTTGAAGGGTTTTTCTCCCGGAGCAAAACCTTGTATATTTAATTGTGGAGACTTTCTAGTTTGGATCAAGTCTTTTTTGATTTCAAGTAAGGAAACTTCTTTAATACTTAAATCTTTATTAAACTAAATCAGAACATTAAGACAGATAATTTGATTTTTAGTTAATATGTTAGAAGTTTATACGATGCTAATTATAAAATACGATTTTAAGCAATTATTAAAATATTTGATACATTTTGTAAATTCCTGAAAGATAAATGCATATTATATATGCTAAATAATAATTAGCTTTGCAATTGTAACTGAAAAATAGTCTACAAGATTGAAAGTTTAAAAGATTAAATGTATGAATAAATTTAATAGTGAAATAAGACAGTGGTATTTTTTAATAAATATAGAGTGAAAGAAAAACTTCCTAAGTCACTGTGAAGTGAAAAATTGAATAAAATTTAGAACTCAGCTTTAGGAAGTTCAGCAGCGATGCAATTAAACACTTTCTTCTCTATTTTTTATTTAACAATAATCTATAATAATCCAGTTTATCACAGAAGAATTAAGCTAATAAACAAATCCCTTTAAAATTTTATAAAATTTTTAAGTTTTATTAACTCGGAAAAAATAACCAATTAACACCAGAAAAAAAATAACCATTTTAATTGAATTCTCTGTCTCTGAACTTAAAATGATGTGGAACACTTCTTCTCTTTTGCTCTTATATGAAATTTTGTAAATGAATCAATCATTGTCAACCCCTTCTGTGCTCCGCCCTAAGAAATATATGATCAATGTTTTTCTAGGGTGAAGCATAGAAGAGGCTTCTGCAAGTTTATTTGCACGTTCACAGAATTAGAGAATAGCTAAGCCATCTGGTGACTGTGGAGAGGAGCAAGACCGCGTCGACCAATTTAGGCAGTGATGAAGTATTTAACACATTTTTAATTTGAGTACCTCTGTAGATACCATTCGACATTTCAGACCAAGCAACCTAAAAAATCAACTGTAGCCTCAGCGGGATTCGAACCCGGATCTTCCACTTTCTAGCTAGACATGTTAATTACACTACGAAAGCACATATGCGGATGTGAAAATTTTTTGCAATCGTACTACAAATTCATGCTGGGGATAACTTCCATGTAATGATAAGAATTTACACTAATGCTTTTAGATGCCTAAATCCTAATCCATTCTGACAGTTTCAATTAAACAAAGATATACTTAATCTTTGAATCTACTGGCTTAATTAAAATGCATAAAAATTTTCAAATTTAATGAAATAGCAACGATTGAGCTGCTCTGTAAGCAGCAGTAAAATGTCCATCATTTGAAATACTGAATAATGTATATTATCTAGCACGGCAGGCTTTCTTAAGAACCTCATAACTGAGAATGTTTTGCAGTAAGTAGATTATAGCTTCTGGTAAATTAGACAGCTTTGTTGAATGAATGTGAAGTTTATCTTTAGTTTTATAAGCGTTATCGTTAATGTTGTTATAAATGTTGTTATAAGATGACAATGAATACTCTAATTTCTAATATAGTAATGGACATTCGAAAACACACAGTGAATCTTACTCTGCGGATTTGCAAATTTTGACTTTTATTTTTATTTTAATGAAGGTAAAGGTTACATTGTTATTTTACTGATAATGATAAAGCAATCTTCGGTTCCCAGCCTAATAATGGGGATAGTTTCGGCAGTACACATAAACTAAAATTGGAATGATACAGGGAAGATTAACATGGCTCCTGCGCTAGGATGATACGCAAAATCGTAAAGCGTTCCATTATCTTTTTTTTTTTTTTTTTTTTTTTTTTTTTTTTTGTTTGTTTGTTTGTTTGTTTGTTGTCCAGCCAGTATAGTGACTAGTGGCTCTGACTGCCGTAGCGATGGGCGCGGGTTCGAATCCTGGAGAAGGCATGGTTGTAACTGTCCGTCTCTTCATAGAAGGGAAAGGTGGCCACCTAACAGGTGTTTTCATAAAGAAATGGCCATCATTATTCCAGCCCTTGTCGTGGCGCAAGTCCAATGGCTATTAAACAAAGCTCCCGGCCATTTAAAAAAAAAAAAAAAAAAAAAAAAAAAAAAATTAGAAAGCTCTAAAAGAAAAATAGGGCTGATATCCACATTTGATTTGGAAAAAGCATTTTGGCAAAAGAAATAAAAATTTATATCTTAATAATATAAACTAAAAAAAAAAAGAGTTTTAAAATATGTCTTTGATCTTAAAATTTTAGTAGTACGTAAAAGAAGAAGATATATTTCTGTTTATTTTTCTACTCGAGATGAAATGGTACTTAATTTAATTAGACCTAATTAATGGTATTTAATTTAATTAGACACAAAGGCGTTTGGCCTTCTGCGCTTCATTCCTTGATGATTTTGCTTAGATTATCACGGTTATTACATGTGGCTAGTTAGTAATTCTTACACAGTGCAGATAATCCTGTTTGTTAATCTTTAGAGCACTTATTATTAAACGAATTTGCACTTTATTGATCAAAATAGCTGTATCACTGACAATCGAATCTCTTTTCTTAATTCTGTTTCGGCCATATTCACCAAGCTGTAAATTCACTAAAATTTGACAGTACGGTCGAAGAACGTACATGTAAAGAAGGAAAGCTTCCATTGACGTAATGTAAACCAGTTTGACTACGCCGTTAAATTGTGGAGGGACAAATTCTCGTCGCCGATCGCCAAATCGTCGGGTGTACAGGAAATTGAGGATTACGGTACAAAACCAAAGAACCAAGGTTTTTTAATATTAAAGGTTAGGCCAGGAACGGGAAAAGCGTGCCATTGGTTGCTGTTAGTGACGTCACCTGGGTGACAAGACACATGTGTCGCCGCGTCTGCTACACGATTTTGGTAATGGAAAAAATGTAAACTAAAGTAAAATGATCATTTTATATGTGATAGTTATAATAACATACCGGAAATACCGGATATATACTTTCTGATAAGGCATTTTGTTAAAGCAAATGTTTATTTTATGCACAGAATTGGTACGAATGCTGAAAATAATTGTAAACATTACATCCTTTTCTTAAAGGAAATCATTAGAAAATAGAAAACGATATTTAAGTTAATTAAGGGAAATAAATTTTGTAAAACAAGGTATTTTTCAATATTTTTGTGTTGTATTGTCTGCACTAAATAAATCTTGTTGAATAAAACACATGAAGGCGTAATTGCTAAAACCATGGTAATGACATAATCAAAAAGTATTTTCCTATTTATTTTCATTGCTCATGCATATTTTTAATACAAATGAACTTTGGCATTCCATCAGAAATATATGATCGTGATTTTCAGTTTAAATTACATAAGCAAAAAAATATATAAAAAGATTTAAATCAACAAATTCATATTAATTACTCTAAAATTCTACAAATTCCTTAATATCACATCCTTATACTTTTAAATAGAATTATCACATTCCTTTAAAGTCACTTACTTATACTGATTCACTTCAGATTTCAGCAGAAGTGCATATATTTTCAGTATTATCTAATAGCACTCTTATAATCCCTTACACTCCTAAGATTTCTGTATAACATTTATCCTGGCGTGCTTATTTGCTATAGCAAATAATCTTCGATTTTCACACCCTGTTCTTCCCTCCATATATTAAAAATGGAATAATTAAACTACATTTCTTACACATAAATGCACAATAATAATAATAATAATAATAAACTTGCTCTACATCTTAATTTCAATTCAGCCTGTATTCAAATTAAATATTTTTAATTACTAATGTATTTATATCAGGTTGTTTCTTAAAATTCTTTTGTTATACTCAAAACAGTGTTCAATAGTTAATTATTTGTCTTTCTCTTATAATTAAAAACAAATTATATGGAATCAAAATTAAAACATATGCAGCAGTTAAATAACACTGAAGAGAATATCTTACTTAATGTTTCGCTATTTGTATTCCAGCACAATACACAGATTTGTTTTCCTTCAGGGTCAAGCATGTGTCACTTAGTTATATCAATTAAATTACATCAGACATATGCATCAGTTAATACTGAAGGAAATATATCACTCACTCATTCGATGTTTGCATCATAGTGTGGTCGAAAAATTGTTCTTTCCTCACGTTGAAACATGTATCAGTTTACTTAGTTCGCAATGCTTAACCCAGACATTGCTTCAATACGTAGAATTATGTTTGGGATGTAAAGAAAGATGTGAATCAAGTTGGATAAGCGAATTTATCAACTAATCATTCAGGTACTCAGTATTGGTAAACATGATACTGAGTTTAAATATCTCACTATGATGTAAGTCTCATTCACAAAATGAAGATTACGATAAAAAATGATTTAAAATGAGAAATTTTTCAATTTTAAATGTAAAATAGCTGTAAAATGAAAAATAAATGTAAAATTACATCAAAGATATGTATGGAAACTACATAAATTCATTAAAAAAATAGTCAATTATTTATCTGGTTGTAAAGAGTGTTTTCCTCCAAAAAACGTATTGGCGTGTGTAATTCTGACACAACGCTATAGCATACTTTGCCTCTTTTGGCTAGGTATGATAGAAAATTAACAACACAAATCAAATCAAACTGTTGATGCAACGAATGTAAACAAACGCCAAGAACTAACGACTGTCACCCACATGTGCCATAATTTTCTCCCTGCACTACGCATCGCTCTTGGGCCGCCCCTGACAAAGAAATTACAGGATTCAGTCTTTGACAAAATTTTTCGCGATAATTTGAACTCAGATTTTTGTAGATTTTGTTGCTCAAAATAAATACTCCATTAATTAATCTACTTGCGCGGATTACTGATTTGATTTAGTCGATACAGAGAGGGAAAAATATGGTATCACAAAACTTTGAACTCTTGACAAATGCTACCTTAGACACCGGCACGACAGGTGACAGGTGACGGAAGACGGGGACGCCTGGTGTTTAACAGCGGTAAACAGGCATATGTCCCACGCCTTCCCCTGTGTAGAAGCAGCAACTTTAAATTAATAAAAGTATTTACAGTGCAACAAGAGCAGATGAGTGATTGTGTTACATTGCAGTTCAGGTTACATTAGCATGTCATAAATAGTCAAGTGCAAGACATAAAGAGAAAGGGTCTTAAATTAAAAAAAAAAAAAAAAAAGGCACGACAACTATTTCGCGCATGCGCAAAAAATTATTAATGTTGGATGGACAACCCTGTTGGATGGATAAACTTGGAGCATATTTTCCCCTTTGCGGTCTGACGGAGCTTCTTTTGCTTTGGCAAAGCTTTCGCTCTTAACATACACGTTCCTTGATATCCGTCGCTGATTACACTCATTAATAAAATCAGCCGCTTATTACTTTCAGATTTTCGGGAGCCAAAACAAATATATACACTGACTATCAATAAGTATTTGGACACCTATGCAAATGACGATACCTGCGGTCCTAAGGTACGTCACGGACTCCGCCGGTATATATCGTGTAGGAAACAGCATCGGCTTTAGTCGCATGCAAGATGCCTCGCAGTTCGGAGCTCTCGGAGCAGTTCGAGAAAGGTATAATTATCGGGTATCACAAATTTGGCCGATCCTTAAGGAACATATCTAGCGATCTGAAGTACCCAAAATCGATAGTGGCCTATGTGATTAAGAAGTGGAAGGTGAGCGGTGATTGTCGGAATGTGCCCCGAGTCGGCAGACCAACGAAACTGGGAGATAGAGACCGACGAGTGCTGTCCAGAGAAATTTGGAAGAACCGCACCCAACCGATGGCCCTCATCCGCGAGGAGTTTCAACAGGCATCCGGGAGTATTGTTTCAATGAATACAATCCGTAAGGAAGCACATCTGCTTGGTTTTCATGGTCGTGCTGCTGCCCATAAGCCTTTGATCACAAAGTCCAACCGCGCTGCTCGGTTAATGTGGTGCAAAGCACATCGAAACTGGACCGTATATCAGTGGAAACGGGTTCTTTGGAGTGGGGAATCAAGGTTCACCCTTTACCGTTCGGATGGCAGGGTCTGGGTCTGGCGTCTACCTGGAGAACGTCTCCTGCCAGTACGCATTGTGCCAACAGACAAGTTCGGCGGAGATTGAATTATGGTCTGGGGGTGTTTCTCCTGGTATGGGCTGGGACCCTTGGTCCCCATTCATGGTAAGCTCAACTCCGATGCCTACTGCACTATTTTGGATGACAATGGGCTTCCTTCATAGTGGCAGTTTTACGGGTTGGACCCCTGTTACTTTCAGGACGACAATGCCAGTCGTCATGTTTCGACGTTAACCAAGGCTTGGTATGGTGCCAAGGAATCGAATGGACTGGCCAAGTCATCGAATGGACTGGCCTGCCCAGAGTCCAAACCTGAACCCTATCGAGAACCTCTGGGACGAGTTGCATCGCCGAATTCAGGGGTGCATTACCCGTGTAAAATCGGTGAAGGAAATTCTATGTCTTCTCCAAGCCGAGTGGAAGAAAATACCACTAGCTGTCATACAAAGACTTGTGGAAAGTATGCTCCGGAGGGTCCACGCTGTAATTAGCTCTCGTAAAGGCTCTACTAACTATTGATTTTGAATAAAGTTAGTTTTTCTTTTCTATCACAGGTGTCCAAATACTTATTGGTAGTCAGTATACTAGTCAATAGAAAATCGCCGTTTATGAAACTCATCACTACCGTTTATTAAACTCATTGGCGAAACACTGATTCTTCAGTACCAGAATTTCTGTTTATACCTATCAAAGCTTTTCAAGGTTCATCCATTTAACATCCGTGATTTTACCGTTCAGATAGGTAGTGGTATGATATTAGCTGTGGCAACATTGTAGAGAATGAAACACTTTTATCTCCAGCGCGGGAGACTGTCTATGGGAAATTCTAAAGACGTGCTGTTTTAAAATATTTTTAGCCCAAAGGGTCGTTAGCCTAAATTGTCTAGAAACGTGTATGTGCGTGTAAATGGAAAAATTAAAATCCTTTGAGCGCAATATAAATTCCAAAAGATTTAATATTTTTTAATTCTGTTTTTCCTATTAAATATATGATAAATTATTTTTCGACTTTTAATGCATTAATTATCATATCCACTCTAAATAAAAGCCTTTTATTGGTTGTATTTATGTCATAAATTAAATGCCGAATATTTTTCTTCTCATTTTTACATTAATTTTTGCATTCTGTTGGATTGAATGCGAAACAGTGCTCTTGATTTATACAATCAAAGATTGGGAAACCTGTAATTAATGACGCGCGCTTTCCTTTCCCCTTTTGCGCTTTCCATAGAAGAGATCCTCGCCGAATGATTCGTATTAGTAATTTTTTACTCCTTCGATAATAAATAAACTTAACGTTTTTAATTTTAAGTAGGGCCATCCTCGTCTAATGGGGAATTAAATGTTACTTTTTTGGGTAAGTAAACTGTCGAAAGGAAGCAAGTTTTCAGTCAGTGATTTATCTCCCTTTCAATTAAAAGTAATTAGATATACATGACATTTCATTGAAGTTAAAATACTGTATTTATATGGTTCATATGGATTAAAGCTAGAACTTTCTAGTGCTCTAGGGAAAAAAAAAAAAAAAAAAAAAAAAAAAAAAAAAAACTATTAACTTCAGAAATTCTTGATACTGCGCTAGGCTCACTAGCGGTGGTAGTTCGGTCCGTGTTTCAAATCCCGGCGAACGGTCTATCTGCATGGGCGCTTTCGTGGTTTTCTTCATGTGTAACATATATACGAGCCAGTTTACTTTAGAAAGTCCCCCACGAAGGCATCGCCTCCACCTAGGCGAGATAGCCCTCGCGTGCTTTGCCGTAATCAAATAAAACCAACCAAACCAACCTTGACACTGCGCTTTGAATTTCTTTTAAATTACATATCAAATTTTAAATATTTCTTATCATGTTCTAAAATTAAAAAAAATTACCATTATTCTAAAATTAAAAAAATAATACTCTAAAACTTTTTTTAATGTAGCAATAAGTGGAATGTAATTGATTGATTCTTCTGATTATAGATCGAGTTCTCTAAATTTATAATGTTCTCAATAATGTGCTTTGAATTATCTTCAAACATTTTGAGTAAAAGAGTTATTTCATGTTTATAATTAATTTTTAATATAATTATTTATAAGTATAAAAGATAACGTTTCTATTCTATATTTTTAGCAACTGAGAAAGCACGATGGCAACAGCTGGCAAGGTAATTATTATTATTATTATTATTATACTATTTATGTTATCGCGCCATCAAACTTCAACATCATTAAAATTAGTAATAACTAACATTACTTTTAGACCTCTCTTTAATATGAAACAGCATATCTTTAACTAAGTATTGAAAAGCGATAGTAATTTCACAGAACTTAATTCTGCCTGGATTTAAAAGGAAAAAAGCGCTATTGGAAAGATATTTATAAAAATCTGTAAAATAATGTGCAATAAAAAAAATACTGTTGCGTGCGTACGGATTCGTAATAGATTGAATGCACAAGACCCTTAAAAGGTTAATAAAATTTATTCTTATCAAAAGAAATATAACAGAAAGTTGGATTTTCCCTCAGAGATATAGGTACAGTATCACTGTATCAAGCAATTTAATCAGTAGTTATACTTTAAACTACTAAAATGTTAAATAGAACGCAGTCCACAGTGCAGAGAAAGCTAATCCGATAAACAACTGAACTGAGATGTCTCTCTCCTGCTTTTTAAAGCTTTTTAATCGATCGCGAGAGAGTTCTGGTAATTTCCGTTTTCTCGAGATTTCTGGAAAGCAAAAGAGTAGAATTACGGTTACAGCGTACACAGTAGTCAATTATATTTATTCAATTTAAATATAAATTACGAGATATCTCTTTATTAAATATTAAATGTACGTTATCCTGCATTTTTACTTTTCCGGCGTAGCTTTCTTTTAATATTTATCACGCGCTGTTTTGTACGGCGAAATAAAATAATTATAATTATAATTCTACTAACATTAGCTATCTAAATACAAAATTCGTAACAATACATTACTAAAAATATAACAGTTCCTCGAGAAATCTTTTATGTTTTTCAATTAAATAAATTTTCTTACGTTTATTAGTAAAATTTCATGAAAATCCCAGTAAAATGCAAATTAAAATTAATAGAATTAACAGCCTCTTCCCCCAAAAGCAGATATTGCATTGCAACCTGTTGCCGCTGTTGTGTTAGGCCCATCTGTGGTTGATTGGTTAAGAATCTCTGAAAACTGGTAGTTCGATCCAGCTTTTAAGTCTCGGCAAACAGGATCGTTGCATGAGTGTTGTCATAGTTGTCTCCGCGTGTAACATTAATACGAGCTAGTCTTTTTTTCTCCCTGGGCAGAACGGTATGCTATGCAGTATTCAGATAGCCTAACCTAAAAACAAATCATCAAAAATCATCATGATCAAATCACGTGACACGTGACATCAAAAATCTAATAAAAGATGGTTTAGGAGGGCTTGTACTTTAAATGTTAGACAGATTTTATTGTAAAACTGAGTGTTAAGAAATAAAGTATCTAAAATATTGTAAAAATTTTCACCCTCCTCAATGTTTGATAAGATTGCTTATAAAAGAGCTGCTACTTCGCTCCCTCCCTCCCTAATTAGAGTCTGCATAGGCAAAGTTTATTCAGTTTCTTTTTACGTATATTTTAACTTATAAACATTAGCTTTAATTATTTCCTCTCTGAAATGAAATATATTTCTGTGATTGTCCCATCAAAATATTAACAAAAACCAGAGGTAACCCCAAATGCCTTTTTACAACAGTAAAATGCTAAGCAATAACATATTAATTTTTGCACGGAAGAAATTATTTTTGGAATTAGTTTTTGCTGATAATTCTTAAAATAAATGAGTTTTCACTGAGAACATTAAAAAAAGAATTGCAAATTACAATAAACTCTATGTTAACTGGGATAATACTAGAGATGACGTTTGCAGTTAACCCAACGTCACGGTTAGTCGATAGCAGTTGAAAGCACGAAAGAGGAACAACCCATATTATAACTGAAAGAAAAATGCTATCTGTTTTTAAGCAGTTTATTTTGAAGAACAATTTCATATGTTTATTTGACTTAAAATAAATATTCGAAACAAAAACACATTACAAAGCAGAAAGAACAATGCTTTTGTTTATATTGCTCTTGCATTTCGATAGCAGTCAACGGGAAACAGTGGATTAAAATTACTTTATTCCTATGATTTATCAATTTTTTAAGAAGTGAATTAACAATATTTACATATTCTACATCATGTGTTATATGTTCATGTTTCATAATTCAAATTATTTAGTCAAAATTTAAGTTAAAAGACAGTTACCTGGCACCGCTATTCCATGATTACTAATTTAATTATTTAAAGCAAAGACTACTCACTAGCTCTTAACGATAACGCTAAAAAACACGCAGTACAGAACAGTTTCATCATGGCAATTTCACACTATCAACTCTCTGTCTTTCTCTTAAACTTCAGATTCTCTCTTTATTTAAACTCACTTCGTTAATTATTCCGATGGGCTAGACGAAACCGTAAAAATGTAGGTAGGATTTAATATAGGAAATATCGGGTTAGCTAAAATAAACTTTACAAGCAAAGCGAGTCAAATTTTATACTTGTTCATTTAATTGAAAAAGGCGCATCAAATGCAAAGGGTAACATGAAAATTCAACATTTTATTTCATTCAAACACCTAATTAATTAATTTCATTTTAGCCTATTAAATGCCGTGCTGCTATAGCTTGGGGAGTAAATAAGCCATACACCATAGAAACTGTTGAAGTGGCGGTTCCAAAAAAAGGCGAAGTAAGAGTGAAGGTATGTTTTGTAATCTCATATTTACTTTATTTTTTCTCTTTTCCTCTCGAGAATATATTAAATTATTTTTTAGTGTGTTTATCTGTAAACTATACTTAAATCTTAAGCTGTGCATTGGAATAAAATGTTCTTAAGAATACAAAGGAAAAGGAAGTAAACTTCAAATTAGGGTTCTCGAATGAAAATTTTCATTTTTAGGTATAAAAATAGTAATTAATTTCAGGTCTGTTAGAAAAGAGTCATTTAGGTCTTTTACCGTGGCGTTGTATTTAATTCCTTTCAGTTCTTGGCTTATATTCGCCCATTCTAATGAAAGTTAGTGAAAATCTAATGAAAATAGTATCAAATAAAAACTTAAAGTGGAAGCTGAAACCAAAATACTTTGAATCTGTAATTGACAGAACTACAAATGAAGATACTTTCCGATCCAGGGTCTGCTGCAAGCGGAAAGCCCAGACTGAAATTAACTTACAATTCAAGCTAACGCAAAATATCTGCTGCATTTAAAAAAATCAGGATCTTTAAAATTAAGGGGGGAAAATTAGTTTGCCGAATTTAGTTAGGAGATTTTGATTACTGTACTAGTCTAAAGCTCATTCCCTTCTGCCCCTTTTTTTTGGGGGGGGGGTTCTAATTTTAAATTGTACGTTCGAGTATTTCCTCTTCCGAATTCTTGTTTCATCGTCCACTTTTAATCAAAGGCTATTCACTTAAATCATTCACAGAATTCAAAATCTCTTTGCCAGTAGACATTTAATCTAATTTATCACAAAGTTAGCTTTGATTTTGAAAGAGAAACAAACCACTGTAAAATATAAAATATGGCAGAAAAGCAGTCTTAGGATGGTGTGAAATTTAAATAAAAATCTACTTATTTCGAGTGTTATTATACGTAAAACATTTTCCTTCAGGATATTGTTTTTTTCGGGAGGGGGGTTAAAAGTTTTCTGCTCCTGTAAAAGATGGATCTATGTCTGATTGCCTTCGAAATCGATACAGTTTTATTCACAATCTACGTAAATTTAAGGTTGCTTTTTGTCTAATTGTAAAAGTTATTCGTGATCGAACTAAATTATCCTTCAAATTTAAACAGCAATCTAGGGAAAATAGTCGTAAGTTAATTTTCTAATCACATTTTATTATTCTCAAATCTTGTTCTTATATTTAATTACTCAAATAATTTGCATTTTATAATGTGAGGTTAACAATGAATGATAAATGCAAAGAGAGGAGGAAATGCAAACAGAACTGGATAAATAAGCAGAAATTTTACACTTTCGCTTGTAATTTGATCTCTCAGTCATACTTCATAGTCACAGTTCTTTTGCTAAAAGTTTTCAGAAAGCGAGTAACTAGCAGAAACGAATTGCTCTTCCATCTTGAACAAGGTCAGACTTTTAAATCCTAATAATACCACCTATTGTTTACAAGTCGCTTCTTTTTGTTTTGGATTTTCTTCCTTCCCCCCCCTCTTCTTTTCTCGTTAGAGGTGCTCATGTTCATAGTATAAGACAAAAGTAAAACTCTAGAAAAGTTCTTCTATATGATAATGACTTCCATACATAAATAATTCCCCATCTTTCTTGTATGTAATTCCATATCCCAAGTAGTTTTTCATGGTTTTTCTTTATTTGTATAGGATATGCGTACCTTATATATGATGCGCATAGCAGCTTTTCATCTGCACGTGTCTTGAGTTCTATGTCCCTGAGCGAAACCTGAATCTATAAAGAAATCAGTTGATATCAACGTTACGAAAATGTGCATTTGATCAGTAAACGGCATTGAAAACCTGCTATTTTGTAGCAAAGCGCACCTTATCTGAAGATATACTCGTATATTTAAATTTACACTTGTTTCTCCCTTACCTAAACCACTGAAAAGAACTTTTAAACTTCTATTTAACAAAGGCATGGTTACAATCGTAGTCTGTCACTACGGTGACAACCGACTTTGACACTATGGTCACAAATGTAGTCTGGCACTACGGTGAAAACCGAGTTTGATGCTATGGTCTCAAGGGACCTGCCTTAGTCGGGATCTAAATCCTAACAATTTATTCACCATCAGGTTCACGAAAACAGTATGGTTATAGATGTAACAGACGGATATGCGAAAACAATGCTAGGAATTTCCTTGAAGTGTAACTTTAAAAATTCTCAAATATGCGAAAATAATAATTGGTTGTTGAATAAAATATGATTGGCATACCAAAAAAAAATTACATCTACCATATTTACATAACCATGTACGTACTAATTTTCAGAGTACTGAATATGTATTTGATGCTCATAAGAATAATATCCCAATTCAACACTTATTGATTCAAAAATATTTTCTATTTTAGCCTCTTAAATAATACCATAAATTTCTTGAAAGAAACATATCATTAGAATTCAATTGCTATCTGCAAATTATTCCATTAACTAAATTGTTGGCAAGAAAACTGAAAATTTTTACTACATATGATGATTTGAATCATTATATTGACCTAAATGATGAATCATGTATTTTAAACCATGTATGAATCCAAAAGATAGGCTCATAGATAAAACAAGCTGATTTTTCAAAAAATATTTTCCTTAGGAAAGATCACATGTAAGATAACTTTCTCATTAACTATTGACAAAAGTGACCATTATTAGTGCTTTCGCACTAAATCGATTGATAAGTTTTTAGAATTCTACTACATTTACCGTCAGATGTCGTAATTTTTATCCTTCCGAGGAAGAAGAATGAAAATAACACTAGAGCAGTGTTTCTTAACATTTCTAGCTAGTCGCACCCCATTGAATCTGAAAATATATCTCCCGCACCCCACTGAAAAATGTGTTTTAATTTTTTTAGTCTAGAAAAATACATTTTTTGCGAAACTTATTGTTTATTGAAAAACATTGTACGTTTTATATAAATACAAAACAATATTATTTTTATTAATGACTAGTCTGTTGTTGTTCATTCATTATTATACTGGCGAAGCGAAGTTCCTTTTCTGAAGGACATGCGCGTAAGTCATCACTTGCATTTAAGCGATTTCTCGTTTTAGTTTTTATATGCAAAAGCGATGAAAATCCCATTTCGCACAAGTAGGGTGGTAGCAAAGGGTAAGAGTAACTGCAGTGCTCCGTTCGCCAAATCTGGATAATAAGTGTGAATACCAGAATTGTTGCAATTATAATTGTTCGAATTCCATTTGAATATGTCCAGTTGCTCGCATTTCAATAAGTTGATCTTTTTTCAGATCACTATCATCCATCAAATTTAAGTCAAATAGAAATGGATCCAGTATCCATCTTTGAGTTTTGGTAATATTTCCGGTAGAAAAATATCCATTGAATGATTCGCTCAATCGTCTTAAATGTATTACAATATCGGGTATAATTGTATTCTTTTCATTTTTCGCAGTAACAGAATCAAGCAAGGCAAAGTTTGCAAAATTCCCCTTTTCTACTACACGTATCCAAATTTCTAATTTTGCGATAAATGAAGATAAGTTTTCACTAGATATTATTATATTTATGCAAAATCCTTGCATGATAGATGCAAGCACCCCACAGACTGGTTTACCAAAGCCCTTCGAGGTAACGGAGGAGAGGCTAAGCCTAATCTCATGATGATTTTAAAGTCCTTTGGATGCCAAATTACATTCGTCTAAACCGTGAAGATGCAATAGCGTGGAGAACTACTGTTCAGCTGAAGATAGTAAGGAACAACAAGTAGTTAACGGTTGGTAGGGCATTACTCAAAAGAAAGTTGTGGCGCTACATCAGAGCAGGCGAGTCGTGTGAGTTCAGCATCCAAAATGGTCAGCTTCAAAAGGTTCAACGCCCAAATGGCTCTGAGTCCAGCACTGTCTCACACGTGAGTATCAGAGACGAATCAGGAACTTTCATGAGATGCTGTGGGGAATCAGGGAACATTATATTCGAACTGTTTGGATGTCCGCGGGAGACATATCTAGGATATTTTTAAAGGATGCTGTATCGTCAATGCACTGCTGTTCAATGTAAATAAATATTTAAATTTTTTACATAGATAAAAAGTTTTCTTAAATAATAATATAATGATTTTGCTGAAGCCAGAATTCTTTTTCAGATGGGATCGACTGGTATATGCCATTCGGACTTACATAATTTAGAAGGAATCGATGAGAAATACCCTTTTCCGAGTGTCTTCGGTCATGAGGGCGCTGGTGTAATCGAAAGTGTAGGAGAAGGTGTCACGGACCTTCAGCCAGGTGACTGACTATTTCATTTGCTCTAAATCTTTAAATATTTGATATTAAGAGTTTATGTTATGAACAAGAAGTTTCTGTTTTGCTTACTTATGGGTGAAGTGAAATCTGTTGGTTTTAAGAATCTATTCGCATCAGATATTGGTTCAATTATTATTCAGATACTGTTAGATATTGTTACTCATTTCATCTTTGTGCAGCTTAATTACGTAGGAGATACAGAAACAAAAATGCCCGTAGTAGATACCCATTGCTTGCTCAGTTAACGGAGCATTCCTTTAGCATCCTTTAGCCCTTTATTCTGAATCAGTTTTCTAACTTTTAGACTGTCTTCCGTCTCATCTTGTAATTCATCTCCACTTTTATCCCCGTTCTCTTTCATTAATGCAACTATTTCACCATCTCTTAAAAGTTTACAGTTTTATCTTACCCCATCCATCAGTCGACATCACCATCAACAACTTACTCTCAGTCTAGAATTTTCATCAATAAGTTCCCTATCAATAAGTAATTTCAGTATATTCTCTGCTTCCTTGAAAATAATTTCCTAAACATTCCTGGAACTTTCTCTCTGAAAGAATGAAACTGATATATTCAGCTTCATTCGTTTAGATATCCACCTCACTACGTCCAGCGTGTCTATTTTCTTTAGTTTATCGATAAGGATAAACCCTTTCATCGTGGCTACAAGACATGAACGAAATCTTCGTGTGTTCCAAAATGCTGTTCTTCAGTGCTTCCAAAATGCTCTGGTCCATTTGTTGACATACCGAAATCACGTTAAGAGTAAGAAATATGTAATAGTAACTGTTCCGCATCAGGAAGGAATTAGACATTATCGAGGATGAGAAGACTTTTCTTGGCAGATTATTCAGTTTTAGAAACTTTCCTAAAGAAGAAGCAAACTGCTGATAAAATCATTGGTTCAAAATGGCTCCACACATTCATGTATTTACTGATTCCTGTAGTAGACAGAAAAAAATCATAGTATGTGTCAACTCCGTTAGTGCACCTTTTTACATTTTTAAGTGCTAGGAACTTTTCCATTTGCTTATAAATGCTATTTTGAATTTATGGTTGCATGTCACATTGCTGCATGCCAAAATTGTAACTCTGTTGTTACTATTTTATAGCCTGGGACCGATATTTCTTCCTTGAATACAAACAACATATAAAATTTTATACCAAATTCATCATATTTGTAAATCTGATCCCCAGATAAATCCTTTTTTACAGTTAGTCTGTGGAAAAATTTCGTGAATTTATTCATTTTTTTTCCCAGTCAGCAGATAGTTTTTCGCTACAGCGTTTAACTGTCTGCCCTATAATGTGGCGCTTCATCTACTTGTCGAATCAGCTAACATTAGCAAAAAATCCAGGCTTTTCTTGAAGTTCCTTATAGGATTTTAAGGTTTCTTCTTGCAGAATGAACCATGAAATGTCTGTTCCTTTATGCTCTTTTTTGCCTATACCCCAAATACTTTCGCCACTTTTCCAATTTTCCTTTTCTTTAAACTATTAGGATATGCTGCTTTGGGGCACCGACAGTAGATTTCGGTCCTCTTATTTTCCACCCTGTTAAAGTAGTTCATCCAACATCTAAATCCCTGGGAAATTTTATTAAATGTTTAAGTCCAGTCTCTTTAAAGCATCCAGTTTTCATTTCCTTTTCGTATTACTTTGTTTTCTTTTCTTCACGCCCCATATTTCTCCTTGTATGGACAATATAGCACAGCGCTTATAAACTTGGTTGTAAACTGAGAAATTGTACTCAGTATGTACTGAAAGTTTAACTTTCAATAAGCTACAGCCACAAACTCTCAGTTAAATTTGAAGTCTATCTATTAATATACCTCCACGTTATCTAAGAGATAATGTTTTCGTTGACCAACAGAAATTATTTACCAATTAAAAAAGAAAAAAAATTGATTGTGAAGTTATATGGAATGTTCAGCTATCGGAAGTCGAATTAATAAGGTTAACTGTGTTGGTAATTAAAATTTATTAAATAAAAGAGCACACTCAAATGATGATTAAGCACTTTCAGGCAGTTCTGTCGCCGCAGAAAAACTATAAACGAATCTAGCTTGCATTTTAAATGGAAGGACTATATCTTTTTACCATTTTAACTGATTTAGTGAATTCCGTTTGTGGATAGCAAAAGTAGCTAGATAACCAATAGCATGATCATCGTCGTGGTCTTGCATGGTTATCTGCTATTTTCAGAAATTTTATTGTGTTTGGATGGCTAACTATCCACACTAACGATGGCTTAAATGCAGATACGTGTCAACTGGTCAGCGAAAATGCTTAAAAGTTTTCATCAAGAGTAGTCCAGTGCAATACATGCCGAAACTTAACTTTTAATATCACCACAGGAAAGAGTAATCGTCGAAGTGCATCTTTTCAGATGAATTCTCACCAATAAATCTCAACAGAGTACTTAGCAAATATATAGTTGTCACGTTCTTAGTCGGAAAGCCATGTTGTAGCGGTGCCACTAGGTAGGCATCAATGTTGGAACACAACTGTGAACATCGGGAAAGAACTTGTACTATTGGTCAACTGTACAAGCACATGTAAGGGGAACATCAAATATTTATCAGTAAGTGATTCAGGTGTTGTTCCCGTCAACTAACTATCCGGATATATCAACGCTCTACAGAGCCTCGAATGTCCCCATTGTTCGCCTCACCGTACATTCAGCTCTCCCCGCACCTCAGGCCTGCAACCGCCAGCAGTACCTAGGCTGCTTTCCGCTGAAAATCAAGAAATAGTTGCACGGAACGTCATAGCCTATCACCAATGCAGCAGCTGGTGTTTTTGTGCATTCAGAATTGCTTTCTGACATTTAGAATAAATGTTTCCAGAAACGTTTCAGATACTAAGGCGTACCAGCAATCACGAGGCTTGATAAAAATATTACAGCGTTTATATCTACCAATGTTTCATTTTGTCTGTCTAAAGATTTCTAGTGTTACCGGCGCAGCGAAATATTTCCCGATTATTTTTACCCCAACTGAAATTAAATATGCATTTTTGTAAAAAAATTAAAGTTTAAAAGTAATTATTAAATTTTAAAAGTTGATGAAATATTTAGTTGCATCTTTTGTTCTTGAAATCATAAATTATACAGGAAGGTAAAAGGTAGCCTTAAAAATCTTTGCTCGAAACACTGCTGCTATTTGGAAATTTTAAAATATAAAGCTTTTAATTTCTATTATGAAATTGAAATAATAGTTTAAATAATTATTTTTACAGGAGATGTCGTCGTTCTGACTTTCGAAAGCCATTGCGGAGACTGCAAATATTGCAAGGATTCTAAGACTAATTTATGTCTGAGGACACCAGTAAGCTAAATACTATAATTTTCTCCATGCTTATGAAAATGTAATAATATATTCAACTGGGCTCTTCTTTTCGAAAAAAAAAATCTAATATTTTTCACTAGGAAGCCTTACTATTTTTCCCTTTGCTTTCACGAAATAAAAATAAAAAATTTAGAGATTAGTTGTTAAAGTTGTAATACTGAAATACATGTCCCTTCAAAGTATGAACTTTCATAAAAAATACATTTTTGCCAGCGACTATGAAAATATTCGAAACCAGTCTGGAGCTGTTTCGTGAAATATCCTTTAGTGACAAAATGAAATAGCGTTCAAAATTTAAAAAACGGCCCTGAAAAACAAGTTGTACTTAAGTTGATGTTCTAATTCAAGGAACGTGCAGTTGAGATGTGCGAGGCCAGGCGAATGCGTTTGATATGAAAAGACAAACAGTTTATGTTTTTGCAAGAAATTCAGAAACTAATATGAAAATAAAGAGGTGAAAGGATTGCATCTTGTAGGCGGATGCTTTGTTGAGTACCACTATTTACGACTGTCGATCAGATATTGAGACTTAAATAACAATAACTTCGATATCAAAAAATGCTTCTAGCATGGCCTTGCTTTTGATACCGTCATTGCAAATCTCAGCATATGTGAAGAATTTCCCGAACTGACCGTTATTCATGCGTATTTCTTCGAGATCTCTGGAAATTTTGGGAGCTTCAATGCCATTCTAAGATTTTCAAATGAGACGCAATGTTATCAACAAAAACATTCCTCAACATTCTTGAGTTTCCCCTAGACATTTTTCCTAATGTGCGTGGAAACTTAATGTTCATATATTGCTCAATAAATGTTTCTTCAGGCATTGCCAGCCGCTAAGTCTCTAGTTTAAAATGCCTGTTACAGCTCTGATATGTCGATGACACTAAATACATAAGTGGACGCAAATGCTTCTCGGCACAAAAGGATTAAGTCGTACCGTAGCCGAAAAAATCCTCAAATCTTACCTCATTTTGTTAGTTTCAAAATTAAAGTTCTTTCTTTAAAAGTATTATATTTTATTATTTTATTTTTCAGAGAAATCATCTCCAAATGGATGGGACATCTCGTATTACTTACAATGGCAAAGTCCTTAGTCAAATGAATAGCATCAGTACTAACTCTGAGTATACTGTCACCTCGCAGTTTAATGTTGCCAAGGTAAAGAAATCAGTTAATTAAAACCTCTGTAAAGGAAAAAGTACTACGATCTGTTATGTTTAATTATTATTACTTTAAAAACCTGAAGTTTTTTTTAAACGATAATCAGAAAACGTGCTTAGTCGCAGTATATATACGTATATATGATAAAAAATATGTGATGCTGGGAGGGAGGAGTAAAATTCATGTAAGATAAAATTTTAATTGAATAAATTGATTGCTGTTTACTGATATATGCTAATATATTAACACCAATGAATAATTTTAAAGGATAACTTTTTAATTATTGCTTTAAAATACTATATATTAAATAAATTACGATTTTATTTCTAAAAATGATTCCATATAACAAAATGTAACATAATATAAATTTCTTATGATTTTGTTCAGATATTTCTTAATATATAGGACGATCGAAAAATCTGCTACTTCCATAGTGTGCGACGTCAGGGATCGCTCTTTGTGAGTAGGAGTAAGGCAATCCTTAGGTAGCCTAGCCCTTTAAGTGATCAATCTCTTGATGACGCGGGAATCACAACCAGGAACATCCGTGATCCACTTTTCTTTTCCTCCCCTTCTTATCTGTTAATTTTTCAGTTTTTGCTCCTTTATGGTTTCCCTTTTGATTTTCCAGTCCTGAAGTTGGAACTGAAAGTGAGATGCTGCTATATTTCTTTGTTTCTAGTTTCTCATGTATAGAAAGCAATCTGGTCATTTGTCGTACGTTACAGACCTGTAAAATTAGTAAGAAGAATCCTGGTAGTTAAGGCGAGGTCCTTTTTTTTTTCTACACTGATTTGGCTGTGCTTCAATCAAAACCGGAGGCAATTAGCTATCTTCTCTAGTATCAGTTAGTAGTCACTAGTCCTTATAATCAGTGCCTTGGGGTTAAGCTTTCGGGAAAGCTGAATGTGGGGCTTCAGTTTGCATATAGACCAGTTATCCTTGGCCGGGAATCCGTCTTCTTGCTGAACTCCGTAGGGGGTGTGGCCGCCGGGATCGAACTACCTTTCTTTCAATATGGTCATCAAAACTCACAAAGGTTAAATGAAAACTATTCTGCTTAAAGAAATCCAAATGAGTAAGAGTTTAATCCAAATGAGTAAGAGTATTATATAAGTCGAAGTTCCACTGACTTCGAGAGAGAGCCTCGGAGTTTCTGATTAGTGTGCGTTTGCCTTTTGGCTTCGACTCTCTAAGCTGTTACTACGCTCGGCCGTATTAAAGGCCCTTGATAGCTTCGCTAACTTGTTCGATATTTAGGAGCGAACTACTTAGAACTTTGATATCTTTGACTATATCTCTTTAGTTAAGCATTAGTTAAGTCTTATTTCTTATTACTTTGAGTTCAAGCCCAAGTGGTTGCTTTGCTGTACGCCCTGAAAAAGGGGCCTTCTGGTTAACTCTTATTTTGAACAATAAAGGGTAATTAACACTTCTCGATTTTTCGAGAACTAACGCGATTATTCGCTTAGCCGTTCATTAGGTTCTTCCACATTTAGTTGCTAGATAAAAGGGTGGAACTCCACAATTTGATAGAAATTGGTTTTTATCATTTAATTTGAAACCTTAATTTTATTTAATTTGAATTAATTTGAAACCTTAATTTGTTTTAATGTATTACGTGTAACGAGATTTTATCTGATTTTATATTTAAATTTTATCATGTGGATTTGATGTAGCTATTTACTAAATGGACCATGTGTTTGGCTCAGCGTGGCCTTTAAGGTTATGTACCAGGAATTTCACCAACCATTCCATCCTGCGTACAGATTTATGTATACAGGGTGTATCAATACAGCGGTGACAAACTTTCAGGAGAGATAGAGTACGCCTAGGCGATGGAAAATCACATAGAAATGCATGGTCGGAAATGCTTTCCTGGGGCAATAGTAACGACACAAAAGTCAAGAAAGAAAGGACACGAAAGAAGTGAGAAAATATGTTTATTTTTCAGAATACAACAAAAATAAAGAAAAGCATCATAAAGGAAAGCGATTAACATCAAAGAAGGTGTTCGGAGTTACTACCCGGACTGTGATGCAGGAACCGTGCGTAATGCATTTTTCACGCTATCTTCCATTCATGATGTAATGCGCCAGAGAAGTGAGGCCTGCATCAAGGTCCGGGGCCGTAATTTCGAACACCTTCTTTAATGACGATCGTTGTTTATTTGTGTTCTTATTTGTAGGTTTCTACTGTACTAAACTTAATAAAACATTTTTTGTCTCTCTGCTTGTGTCCTTCCTTTTTTGCGTTTTGTGTCGTCACTACCGCGCCAGGAAAGCGTTTCCGACCATGCATTGATATGTAATTTCTCATCGTCATCTCATCTCTATCTTTAATGAAAGTTTGTCACCGCTGTACACACACACACACGCATATATGTGATATTTTGGCAGTCGAGCACATGAGTGACGAAGCTTGCCAGAGTCCGGGCATTGTTTGGCTGAATGGAATACAGCAGAAATGATGACACAGAAAGATTTCACTTTTTACTATTCCATATCTTTATTTCAATTTTCACTGCAGATCATTTTTACTTTAGATGAAATTCCCCAAATTACATATTCAATAGTGATTTAAACTAAGTACGATTAAATTTAGACTTCTTGCGTCATAACTATTCTAACAAAGGAAAGATGGGTTAAGCAGCAGCGAAGTGTTGTAACGCAGGAGGAGAGAAGCAATCTATCTGATGCAAATTACGTAATAGGCTCGAATGTTCTCGAAAATACTGGACTAGGGGGATGATCCTAAAATTACGGAAAGTTAATTGGAGGTTGCTTGTTCGCGTAGAGCAAAGCCATCGTATTTTTTATATTTTACATATATACTATCTATATATCACTTCAGATGATCGATACTGGCTGAGAACGTATGTTTATGTATCCAGAGTATCAATGCAAATACCATTTTTCTTGTGTCACAAAATGATCTAGCACCTAAATTACAAATTACTTTAGAAAGTTAAAAAAAAAAAAATCCCAATTATGCCTAACATTTTGTTTTCTCATTGAATGAGTTCTTTGCTATTTTTTAAATTAACTTTTACAGTACTGTTAAGAATCATTATTGTTTTAGGTAAATCCAAGAGCAGATCCTCATAGTCTTTGTTTAGCCGGATGCTGCATCCCAACTGGCTATGGTGCGGCAATGAATGCAGGTCAAGTATCACCTGGGTCCACCTGCGCAGTCTGGGGTTTGGGAGGAGTTGGAATGTGTGTTGTCATGGGATGCAGGGACAGCAAAGCTGCAAAAATTATAGGCATAGATACAAATCCCCAAAAGTTTGCCTTGGGTATTTTTTTTTTCTTTTTAATATATTTCCAGATTGCTTTCATTATAAATTTTGATGCAAAGATAGATACTTCTCTGGTACCTGTATAAACTACCAGTTGAAAACATCTACATTTTTCAAAACTAATTAACTGTTAAATTGCACCCTGTTTAATTTTTTCTTGCTTCCGATGACTTCTTGACTTCTCAATTAGCTAGAAGTGTAGAACTTCGAAAAGACACAAGAGGTAAAATATTCACATCTTCAGTACCTAAATAGCCCAGCCCCGGCTACCCGCGACAAAGCAAATATAAGAAATTGCTCACCAAAACCACACTGGTACACAGCCACATGGTTCATGCCATAAAAACCTTTCCGTTGCATTACCAAGCTCTCTGTAAATTATGCATTTAACAGTTACTCCGATTAATTCATGTTCTGGTGAAGGCTGATTGAAGAAACAGAAGCTACAAGATAGAATTAACATAAAAGTAATGTATTAGTAGTATAAATCTTACAATATTATTTAATGAAGTAGGGTTTTCAAGATTTAATGATGTTCCGATAAAAAGAGTCTTCTAGAAGTCTTATAGTACAAATCATTTTAATAATCAACGCCATAGTTCAAAACATTAATATCAGTCTTCATCCAAAAGTATTTAACAGTTTTTAATTTTAATTTAGCAATCTTAATATAATTCTGATAAGGATATACGGAAATTTATTACGATTGATAATTCATTTAATTACAGAAATCCTAGACATGTCTTTGCAAATGAATTTTTCGTTATTAGAAGGTTCCCATTTGGTTTATCATTGGCAGTAATTAGTGATATTAAAGCATATGCAGCTCTTTAATGAAAATTGAGTTATCTTGCCTTGATATTGTTTAGCTAATACAGTTTATAATTCCGTAATTGTTTTCAGTTGGAAATATGTCAGCTATCTTATGAAGGAAACTTTCAAATAAGTAAATCATTTAATAGGTAGAGTTACAAAAGATAAATAAAAAATAATTCTATTTATAACTTAGTAAGCTTTCAAAAAGAATTTTCTGCCATAAATAAGCTGGCTGTTACTTCTTTAAATTGATTTAGGGAAAGATTTAAAAGACCATCCGGAGGAAAAAAATGGAGGATATCTGAAGGCTTAAAAGAAACATATTTAAAAAAAAAAAAAAAATACAGTGTTTTAATTTATTTCCACATCAAATGACACAGATATTGAGAAACTGCTGGCTTTTCTCAAGACTTCTTCATTCGTTACTCAAATTACTCACATTCTTCCTCCTTATTGCATTAAAGAATAGAATGTATCGAAACATAATGTTGAAAACATCAGATCAACAGCAATGTCATAGCTATATTCATCGTCATCCAAGCTTTGAGAATTCTTGAATATATAATTAATTTCATTTCTTTCTTGAGGTTTGAGATTCCATTTAAAAACTTCCGAAGAATCTAGTAATTATTTAAAAAAAGTCGAGTTTAAAAAAGATCTTGGTAAAATATATATATAAAAAAATAATAATAAGGCAGTAAAATCGAGCAAAATAAAATATCTTTTTTATAGCTGTCAAAAATAACTTTTTTTTAATATACAGCGTGTCCATATTTAGTTTCCCTATTCATACCTGTAATCATTCGATCAGAAAAGTGTGGAATGTTGTGTGTTGCGTAATGGGTTGGGAAAAGCATTTAGCAAAAATATCAAATTAGTTCCAAATATCGCCACTAGAAGGCATTTTATTAACAAATTACACATTTAGCTACATTTTTTATTGCAGCAAAACATGCTTCATATGGTAGTCGTTACTGCAAGCTACCATCTGAAATCTCGGGATGGTTTGTTCCATATTTGAGTAAAGTGAATGCTTAGACATGTGTCGCAAAATGCTGTTTTCAAGATCAGGAGACAACATGCAATGCGTGGAGGAGTGCCGTCTTATATGAAGACTGCATGAAAGGCAGTGACGGGCTTGCAGAGCCGGGACAATTTTATTCCTTAAAGCCCATATCATACGGCGTTTGTTTCACACGAACAACTGTTTCGGACAATTTTTCTGCCTGGTGTACTATTGAAAAGAAAGACGTGCAACTTTTTCCTTCCTTTCGAAAAAAGTTGCAAGTTGTTCGTTTTCAACCAATCAGCTATCAGCGTCGAATGCTGTTAGCTTGTTTGTAATGGAGAACCAGTTTCCCCTGTGTTAACCCTAAAGCGATCTGTGGTGATTGGCTGTTGTGACAAAGCAGAAAAATTGTTCCAAACAGTTATTCTTTCGAAACAAGCCGACGTGTGATAGCAGCCTAATAGAGCTGCATGCTGCTGCCCGGTGATGACACTTGATCTGTCAGAGTAAATTTCTCCAAGAAGTATCGCCCCAGAATACATGATGCACTAAATTCATAACATATTGTCCCTCTTGGAGAATGCAACATAATATCTACAATCGAGTTCAAATTTGTGGATCCCAAATTCGATAGCAGTGAGTATTCAATGAACCGTTAAAAAAAATGCTCTTCATCTGCCCAGATGTTCCAAGGTCATTTGGAATCTCCCAGCGAATAAGAAACTGTAATGAGAATTGGACTCATACGTCATGCGGAAGAAGCAACTGCTTCACATGTTTAAATTTGGACGGATAATATCAGAGGATATTGCGTAAGATCTTATGGAAACATTTATTTAGCGGAATAGAGAAAGGAGGGTGTTACATGGAGAAAGTTCTAGCCTTAAGGTTTGAAGCCCTGTCCCTCAACACTTCTATTATCATCAAATATTCTATTCAACTGCAAACACTTCTGTTATCACGCTAGAAATGGGTTTTCTTCCTCTTCCAGGACAAATAACCAGTGATCCTCTTGCTTCAAATTTTATCATTTTTTAGTCCTTTTGTAATGACACTCAAGTCCTTTTGTAGTGACTGGCTGTGTAATCTGTTCGAGTCCTCTTCAAGGCTCGTAAACTAGTTGGTGGGGAATTAGTATTTTGATAATAAAATTTAACTAATAAAGCTCTATCTTGCAAAATCAACCAGTGGCAAGCAAGCGTACTGAAAACAAGTTCCTTGTGAAGGTTTGTAAGTTTTATAAAAACTGTTAAGTGGCGTTAAAAAAACTCCATAAGTATTGGTGGAGTTTCCCTGTAATACACCCTCTAGCACTGATATTTAAAATTAATTTGGGGTTTTTCACTAAATGTCTTTCTCATTCCTTTACTATGTCATACACAAAGTTTAGTACTTTTCTTATGGCTGGTTACGCCTGTACGCTGCTCTGACTAGGGGAACTTCAATTATGGGTGCACTGTATTTGTATATAATATTTTAATTTTATTAAAAATAACTACTTGTCTTAATATTACTGGCAAATTTTGTTTAATTGATTTTCAATGCACATAAATAACCCTCTAACTTATTGTCCAGTGAGTGGCATATTTGCATGCAAAAATTTCAAATATGCGAAATTTTCCTCGTTATGATTTGACATTGGTTTTATGCAAAATAATGCATTTTTTATTATTTATTGTGGAGTATGAGGTGCACTTTCGCTCCAGAATGTTCTGCTAACTGCCCACTCTGTGCCCTGTCATATTCATCAAAACGAAACTTTATTGTCACGACATCACAGCTTAGGGGTTCCCTTAGTTTGCATAACAAATTATATTAAGTTTGGTATCTTTCCCGAACCTCTCATTTTCCCCTCGCATTCCCTCGCCAGGATGCAAATTTAAAATTAAGTGAAGAGAGTATAAAAGCAGACGAAAATTGAACTTTATTCAGAGCGTGATTTTGCCAGCCAGCGCACGTTACTATTTTGCCCTTGTTGCCGTTACGTTGAGTTACTAATACACCTTTTAGCCATTTAATAAATATATAGCAGAGTAGGTTCTTGAGTCAGTCTAGTTAGCCTTAAACTAAATTGTTAGGCAGCGCTATTATTTATCTTTGAATTTATTGCTAAATTATTCTGAAGTTCCACCGCAAGTCAGCGTGTTATTGGGAGCACGAAGTACGTGCATTTTTATTAAGAGTTTGACGAATAATAAAGGGTTTATTTCATACTTCTTCTGTTCTCGTATTATTCACGCCTGTGCGAGAAGTCGCCAGGTTACCTCCTAAGATCACGTTAACTTTACGATAGCAAAAAAAGTTAGATCTTACCTTCCTCTCGGTTCTCACCTTCATCATGGTTCTGTTATATTGTTATGGAATTATTCTTCTTATTATTAGTGGTAGCAGTATCATTTTTTTTCTCTTTATTTTAAAGCTAAGGATTTGGGCTGTACCGATGTCTTAAACCCAAATGATGTACCAGATGTACCAAAGAAACTGGCGGAAATGACAGATGGCGGTGTGGATTTCTGTTTTGTATCCGTTGGCATCATTTCTGTTATGGTAAAAAAATTTATCATACATATATATATATATATATATATATATAAATTTTTGTGTAAATTCAGATTCAATTATTTACAATAATTATGTTCAACAGTTTTTTTGTCACTAACTCCAGATTTTTCAATCCAAATAATCAGTTAAAAATTAATACAGTATAATACTGATCTGTCATAAAGACATTCCCTCTCTAAAGAATCTGTTATTTAAAGTTTCAAAATAAAATTCATGACGTGTGTGCAAATTTTTTAGAGTTACTTCCTTCCTGTACATCATTTAATAGAGATTGCAAGATCATAGTCAACAAATTTAAACCTTCTTTTAATTGTGATCTTAAAAACTGCAAAAGGAAAAAAAAAAAAAAAGCCCGGACCAGAGAAAGGTCTTGATCATTTACTAGTTCACTTCGAGGCATTACAATAACTGCAACTTGGACTGGCGATCGAACAAATTTTTGCCTGCCCACCTGGACAAGTTTCCAATTTTCGACAGCCCAAAGTGTGATTCCTTTTCCATCTTTCTTTCTTGGATCTTGGATCATATCTTTACTGCTGGCTTTAGCTACTAGGAGCTCTTACCAGTATATTATCATTTTACCATAGGCCATAAAGTTAAAAATTTAAGAGGTGTATTTAAAATACACCGCGCCCGAAGGCGAGATCAATAAATGAGAGAACTCATAAAATAAGTTTTGCTAACTTGCATATCATGGCATAGCATGGGTGATTATATACGTAAATGGTGGCGAGAAGCGAAATGAAATTCTAAGCTTCTGCGTGAGTCAAGAAGAGCAGGAGCACGTGATCAGCGTCCGGCATTTAGATTGGTCGAGGAGTCAGAGTTCGAAAAATGAAGTTTTTGTAGTTTTTGGCAATAAATAAAGTTCGAACATAGTAAAAGCAACATCTATTTGTGAATTTAAGAGTCTTATGTCTTTTGAAACACTTGAAAATCTTCTAAACTTGCGATATAATCATTAAATGAATAGGAAACTGTAAAAGGTGAAAATGAGGTCATGTAGCTCACTAGGGCTAATGAGTGAGAGTAAGCACTTGGTGTTACCACGAACTTTGATTTTAAAACACACGATACGAAATATTAAAAATAAAAAGTAAACATCTTGGTTAAATAAGTAGTAAAACGAAGACTTCATCGATGAAAAATAAAGTCCTAATTTTGCAAAGTTCATCTTTCTTGAATAGTAACTGCAAAGGAATAGTAATTTTTTTTTTTTTTTTTTTTTTTTTTTTTTTAATACATTATATACACTACCACCACTTAGAATTGTGGTGGATCGTTCGAGGTCTTTCCACTATGTTCTCAATAGTAGGGTCATAGTCTGTAAGCGATTTAATAGCTTCATAGGGAGAATTTCTCATATCTTCAAAGAAGTTGTGTGCAGAAATTAGGATTTGGTCGTGAATTGGATTGATATCCAGGTCTTTGTGAATTTGAGAATTTCGCACGAACCAGGGTGCGTTCACTATGCTACGTAAGATTTTGTTTTGGAGTACATTTAATTTTTGTCTGTCTATTTTTCGGGCAGTAGCCCAGGCTGGAACTGCATAGAGGATTATTGGTCGAATAAGTGAGATGTAGATATTTTTCTTGGTACGGAGGCTTAACTTAGAGTTTCTTCCAATTAATGAGTAGAGAGCAATGAAAGCAGCGTTAGCCTTATTTGTAACATATTGAATATGATCTTTGAAATTTAGGGTTTTGTCAATATAGACACCTAAATATTTATAGGAGTTGGCCATCTTTCTTTATCATATTCTAACACATATATACTTGTTGACTGGGAAGCTTGAGATAGCATAAGATTTCCTTTATAGTCCATTTTATCGTTATTTTATCTGAATTTCTACGTCGGTACGTTGAAACTTATCTGTAATTTATCGCCTCTATTGCTTTATTGTTCCTCATTTGAATTCGCTTTGTTGTATTTAAAAATGTTTTTTATATTTCAAACTTCATTATTTAATCTTAGGTATGAATCTGCCTAAGAAATCTGTCTTGTTATGGAATAACTTACATGCTTTCCTTACACAGTTTAAGATTTCATTTTATTTCAGGAAGAAGCTTTTAAATCCAGTCATCCTAACTGGGGAAAAACGGTGATCATTGGCTTGTCTAATATTGGGGAAACAATAAGAGCTGGCGTCTGGGAGCTCATTTATGGCAGAAAACTTGTTGGAACATCATATGGATGTAAGTGAGTTAGTCATACATAAGATATTTAAGACTTCTCTCGTAATTTTTTCAAAATTTTCTTCATCCCTGCATCATTTTCGGAATAATTTCTTCTATAAATTGTAGCAAAAAATTTCTGTTTAAGTACTGAAACAAAAATATTTTCTAGTTAATTGGAAATGTGTTAGTTTATATCGTATAAAATATCGTAGAAATCCAGCTGTAACGAAACATACGGATTAAACTTTGTTTGAAACAAATGTAGGCAACCTCCATATACATAAAAGTTGTTTAAGTGAATTAGGCCGTAATTTCAGTATATGTTGAAATAAGGTAAAATCGATTATGTTTATTGATACATTTATCTGCTCCACATGTTACGTGCACACGTTAAAACATTCCCTTCTTTCACAGAGAAACGTTCGACACTCAAACTTTAATGAGTTCAGCGATGGATTTCTCCAACACTGAACCCATTCTCACTTGAGGTTTGTTGGAAAAATTTTGTTGGCCCTTTTCTTTGACCGTTGTGAGCTTATATACATCAATTGGTTGACGAAAAGCACCATAGAGAACTTGCTATTACGAAACACTGGAACGTTTGAACAAAGTTTTAGAGATTGATAGGTACTGGATTGCTATCTTGACGCATCGCTCTTTGACAAGAAAATGCAAGGCCGCATAAAACAGAAATCAGTTAGTTACATTAAAGGTATATGTGTTGTGAATTACCTCATTTGTATTGGCGACAATGATTATTAATAATTTCTAGAAATAATTTTTAAACTAAATATTAGTTTTTTCTTTTTTCTTGATGCTATACAAAATTAAGAAGTAATTGAGTAGTAATCTCTTTATAAATACTCAAATTATTTTGCTTAGAACTGACAGAGATTTAGTTCTAATAATTTTCAAGGTTCTGTTTTATAATAATAAATGGAATATTTAATATTTTTCCTTTTAAAAAGCTTTGCGTGCTGAATGTTAGGAACGCCATTTTACATTAATTACAAAGCAACCCATATATTAAAGCTCAGTTCGTTTCTCTCTCGTATTTCTTATCCACGTAGAATAATTACAGTAACTTAAGAACAAATGTATCAGATTTAACTTGAACAATGTATCAGATTTAACTAAAGAATTAAAAGTACGAAACCTTAAATATTTTTTGACGCAAGATTCGAAATAAGGACAAAATAAGGCAACCTTTCAAATCAGCAAGTCCTACGTCACTGTAGAGTAATGCAAAATGTCCCAGTTATGAGTTATATTTAATTCGTGTTAGCAAGAACATGTCTAGTCAAATAAAGCCAAAATCTGCTTAACGGCTATTTGTCACTGCCAATAAAAAAAAACTTATAGCAGTCTATTTGAATTGTTTATATTGAATTGTCTTTTTCCTGATCTACTTAGAACTTTGAAATTTACTAAATGAAAGGATTATCTTAACTGCACTCTGTTCCACAATTACATTTGTAATAATACAATTTATCTTAATGTCAGTGGCATCCCAATGGGTACCAATTACTCAGTTATGTAGCCTTTACCTCTTTGATAGAGGTTTAACGATGCCAAAGCATAGTATTTCATCCACCAATCATGTATTGGGTCGGTGTACAAGTTCGTAGCGTTTTGTTATGGTTTATAATGAGAAACTGAATGGCACTTTACATATTCAATGGAAATAGCTGAATTTATGATTTTATCATTATCTACAAAGTTTCCTCGACTTTCAAGAAGTACTCTTTGAAACTGTAACAGAACGCTTAAATTATCGAAAGCTGTGCTTGTGTTGGGTACCAAAATTCGTTATCGAATCAGCCGGCGGGTTTCTATGAAGTTGTAACTCAAAATCTAGTCATACTCGATGTAGGTGGAAATTATTTTGAGAAGTAGACTAAGGTCCATGCTATCATGTAAAAAAATGTGTTAAGAAATTATAATTATGTTTATACAATATCAAAACAGCACTTAATAAAAAAACATGCCTCGTACAAGACAAATAGTAAGCTTCTCTAAAACGAACAACTTTTGCTTTTTAGTTCCTTCTTAAATCTCGTAGAAAAATCTTAAATTTTGCAGTACATTTTAAAGAGTAGCAAATAATTAAAAACTATTTAAGTGAATAAATTCGAAAATATCTACACGGGTTCTGTATTTTTTCAATTAACTCATTAAAGCATAATAAATATATTACTAGTGAAATAGTTGCTCAATACGAATCATATATATTGGGTCATAAAAAAAGTCTCCGCGCTATTTTGGTACATTTTTTAACAAAAATTTTCTCTATTGAAAGTCAATTTTAATCAGTGCATATTGACGATTATTATCTATGATCTTTTGCCATTTTTCGGGTATCTTCATAATTCGGTGTAGAACTTCTCTGGTTTATCTTCGAAAAACTTGGACGAGTGATTTTCAGCCGCTCTTCGATAGGCCGATTTTTTACCATCAAGGGAGTTTTGCAGAGATCGAAGAAAATGGTAGTCAGACGGCGCAAAGTTCGGGCTAAATGGTGGATGCATCAAAACTTCCCAACCAAGTTCCGTCAGTTTATTCTAAGTCATCATAGATGTATATGGCTACGCATTGTCATAATGGAACACAATTCCTTTTCTTTTGGCCAATCTTGTTCGCTTTTTCTGTATTGCTTCGTTCACACGCTCGAGTTGTGCACAGTACAGGGCCGAACTGATGGTTTCACCAGGTTGCAATTTATGTGGCACCCAAACATTGAGCTTCTCTTTGTAACCTGCTCTTTTTCAAATGATTCCAAACTCTAATGTGGTTAATATTTAGTGCCTCTGCTATTTCCTGATAGCTTACGTGCCGGTCTTGCTCCATCAGTTGCAAAATTTCCTCGACTTTTTCAGTGACTGGCCGACCAGAGCGAGGTGCATCTTTGATATCGAAATTTCCGGAATGGAATCGAGTAAAGCACTCCGGTGTCCCTCGTTCACTCACAGCATTCTCACCATACACTTCACAAATTTTTGGGCATGTCTTTGTAGCCTATTTGCCTTTTTTATAGTAAAAAGTGTTACATAACTTATTTCTTCAGATATTTCACTCATTTTCAAATCAATATAACTTTTTACACAAGTAACGAATTAGAAAACTATTTTCACAAACAATGGAAGCTGAATGTCACCTTTTAAGCACGTGTTCGTTTGAGACAATCGGGTGAGTGTTGCCGGATATATAGGCATCAACATCATGTAGTGTGGGAAAAAAAAAAAAAAACCGCAGAGATTTTTTATATGCCTCGATCCATAAAAAGTTAGATTTTGTATTTTACAAATCCCTCATAACTACAGTACAGAAACTGTTTTCGTAGAAATCTTAGTTTTATTTTGAAAAAAAAAAAAAAAAATATTACAAACAGACATTTAAGGTCATTATTTAAAGCAGCGTCTCTTAAATGTTTTTCTTTCGTGATCCTCTTTTTCATTGAGATTTTTTGTGGATTTCAAATATTAAATATAAAATAAAGATATAAAATAAATATTTTCCCATTAATATTTTATTTGTTTTATAAACAATATATGTGTAAAATAATACTTTTAGGATTTTTTTCAAATGTCCATAAAATTAATATATAAAACCCAGTTTTTAATAAGATGGATGTGTGTGTGCTGCTACATAATAAATTAAATTCCGATGCAATATTTGATACTGCTAGATATAAATCATTTTCAGTATTTTTCAGCGTTGAATGATACTTGGATTTAGCAAGCATTAAAGCTGAAAAAGTTATTATTTAATATGTGACAGTTAACACTTAATGCCATTTTAGAATTTATCAGAAAATATCTTCTAGCTCCGATCCAGAATTTAGTCAAGAAGTTTTGTAGAGCTCAAAGTTTTAAGTCACTCGAAAGCTCAACAAATTCCTCTTGAGTTTTATCCCTGTATAGCAGATGATTACTCTCATTAATGTCAATCAAAAATGGTTTTTGAATCCAAAATAACTTTTTAAAATAAAAATTCGATATCACGTATTTGCAAAACTTTTCCAGGATTTTATGTGTTCTTTACATGGTTTTTGAATTAAAGTTTTACAATTATTTATTTATTTTTTTTTTTTTCAATCATAGAATTTCCGATAGTCGAAAACATTTCGAATGAATTATTTTCCACCCAATTTTTTCAATTATTCAACTTTTTGCTAAAACCTTCAATTATTTTATTCGAGGTAAAGATATTGCTATTTTTAACTTCAACAGAAACTGTGATTGTTTAGTTTCTCAAAGATATCTGGCAAATAACCCAGCTTAACCCCACAGCTCCATCACAATCATTTGATAACCTGCAGTCATTTTGAAAAGAGCACCAAATCAATTTTTGTTCGTTAAAAAATCTAATCATTTCGCTTTTTAGTAACAATAATCTTAAAATTTGCCCTCTTGGCATTTATCTTACTTCTGCGTGTAATAATAATATTTTGCAGTCGGTGTCTAAGTCTATCCGAGATTTGAAAACAAACGGCAGTTAATGACATGTTTTGATCTTGCTTTAGATATTTTTTAACAAAGTTTGTACTTTTGATAATATCCTGAAGCACATCATTCATTTCTGTTGCTAACATTTTTTGCTGCAAAGGCTTCTCGAATGGTTCAGAAATTATGTAAAAATTACATGATCTTTATCAGCAGCCCCTATAAATTGTTTAAAAGCAATGTTTTCGCTCGTCATCGCTTTTGCTTCATTTGTGTATATTCCAATGTATATTCCAATGCATTCTAAGCTATCAGGTTTTAAAAAAATTCGTCGCTCGCTTCACTTGATATTCATATTTCTTTGATTTGCTGACGTACGAAAGATGCTTGGATTCAAGATGCTATTTTAATTTTTATGGTCTCATACTCCCCACAGTCAAAACGTTGTTTCAAAATAAGGAAAAGGAAGTTATTTATTACTATCATGCTGTTGAATGTAAAGCCCAATGGGAGAAATGTCTTATCATACATTTCGCCATCTTAGATGCCTCTTTCTGATAACTAAATCTAGTTTGAAGAGACTTTGAAACATGGCTATTTGCGTCATTATCTTTGTTACACAAATACAATTATTTATCCGCGCATAAAAATATTTTAATCCTAAAATATAAATAAAATAACATATCTCATAGTAATCAATTATAGCTCTCAACGGCATATGGCATAAGTGGTTGTTCTACAAACTGATTAAGATGAAACTTAATAGGGAAATTATCCTTCTCCTCAGTTCTGTCTTACCTTTCCTTGTTAGCAGGCAGAGTCGTAGCTAGGGTTTTTAGCACCCAGGGACAACTGAAGATTTCGTGCCCCCTACTGCTTGCCAAGGATGGAAAACATTTAATTCTAAAATGTCGTAACATCAGTTTGGCGCCCCTTGAATTCTGCGCCCGGGGACAGATGCCCTCCCTTTGCCCCCTCTAACTACGCCCCTGTAGCAGGCCTCTTAGGCAAGAATATGTCCATTCAGCCTTCAAAAATACCATTGCACGAGTACCCAGGGCTCTTGCCTAACTTGATTCTTAAGTAACTTATATTCTCTAACTTTTTGTGTAATCGACTTTCCCATTGACAAAATGGATAACTCGACGTTAGCTTGCTACGCCGACCATACGGCTGCAGCCGTCAGCTGCATCGAACCCAATAATGCCATCTCCAAATTCCAGGATCTTGCTTTAGATATTTTGGACAGACGCAGTAAATAGACGATCAGTGTTAACGCCTCAAAGCTCCTACCGGTCACGAAGATCAAAGATTCGGCAGATAGCACTTGAAAAGCCTCTACTAATTTGGTGAAAATATGAAACCTATAAATAATATGAGCTAGTTATAATCATACATAAGCTCAAATGGATTTGTCATATTAAAAAACTATTAGAAAAGCTTCTGGTGTCGCTAACCACCTTTCTGTTCAACTAACTTACTCCTCGGAAACTACTCTAGACTGTTTTCCAATAAGAAGAGAATGATTTATCTATCCATTATCTGGCAAGTTTTATGCTATGCATCTCCATCCTGTGTCTCAGCCTCAAATGTAGACTTCAACAAACTTCAGGTATTACAAAATAAGATTCTGAGAGGAATTGTAAATATTCATTACCTAATCAGAAACTAACTGATCCATAATTACTTAAAAATCGAATCTGTACTGGACCACTTTTCTAAATTTAAGTAGCGTTTCTTCAGCACTGAACGTAGCTGTGAAACTGCAAATGTTTACGAATTCCATTCCAATAGATAATTTGGTCATGCCTTATATGCTTAAAGACCATACTTTCGTAACCTAGCTTCATTTTTGACGTTTATTGTATTCGGTATTTTCTTGTATCTAGTTCATTTCATTTATCACTATATTTTAGAATTCATGAGCTGCAAATACCTATATAGCTTCTTTACTTTACTGGCATTGCTTGTATAGTTTATAGTTTATATTTATTTTGAATATTTTATTTTGTATTAGGTCGCAGCGTGACTTTTGTCACTTTCAATCTGATTAGCATTCTTGCAGTACAGTAGACAATAGTCTTCCCTTTGCAGCCCTTCGTCGACCATTCTCGAAAATCGCCTGCTAGCTCGTTAACGTTATGGGCTCTCAGATGCTAATTTACTTATCTAGCTTTTTAAGGCCCCTTTGGCAATTTCATAATCCATATCTCTATCGTAATTATTATTTAAATAAACATTAGAAACCAGCCTTTGTAGAGTAATGCAGTAAAATAAAATATAATATTGTTTTTGCGATGTACACACTTGTAGCGATAACATGGAAATAACTGGCTAAAGTGTTATCACTGCACTAACTGTAGTGGTGTCGACCTTATTCTCGGCGCGGCTGTGTGGCATAGGACGTTACATACTGTTCGTTTGAGGCCTAACTTGATTCTTAAGTAACTTATATGCTCAAATTGCTATATGACATCGTTATTATAATGCACTTATAATGACTACCTCGTATCTTAATTTAAATCAAGCACGGCATTTTTTAATATGCAAACGTATTTGCTACCCTTTCCAGCCAGCAACCATACGATTTTATAATTACATAAAACATAAAATGCAATGTATTAAATTAAATACAGCGCACTCTCGATTATTCGGTTTGCGAATTATCCATGCGTGATGATATCCACGCACGCACAATCAACACTATGCGCGAGAGTATGTAAAAAACAACGAATGGTATAACAATGGCTGAATTTTTACCGCCAAATATTACCAATTTAATTTAGGCGCTGAACAAAAATGTAATATTATCAATGAAACCACTTTACCGTTCTGGTCTTCTCATAATCTTTACTGAGAAAGATGATGATTTAATGAAATTCTGGAAAAAAAAGTTGACTGTATTGTATGTCTCATCGGAGCAGCAAAGGCTTGGTTGAAAGTAAAAAGCAATGAGACTGGTTCTATCATAGAGAAAGAGTCTTCATAATATCGAAATCGGAGATTTACCTTATTGTGAAGAAGTCGAGGCAATAACACAAGTTATATGCCAAAAATATGAAAATGTAAAATCTCTCGAAAATGTCAACAGGAAAAACATCCAGTAATGATCCAATGGCGATTCGACTGAGCTAAGTTTCAATGCTTAAGCGATGTGGATAGCGTTTTCAGTGTCACAAAAACAGAAGACGCAGAAAGTGATAGTGAAAATACAAGCGAAAAAAGACATTGACAATTACATTAGACCCGAAACAGCGATAACTTCTGTTTAAACTCTGTTGGTTTCGTCAACCAAAGGGTTACGAATACTATGATAAAACAACGCTTTGGAAAAAACGCAGTAAAATTAGACGAATATTTAATTGTTCTCAAAAAGAAAGTAAACTTTTTGATAAGGGATAAAAACATAAAATACACATGAAAACTGATAATTTTGATTATCCGTGTTTTTCAGTTATCTATGATCTGTTTCCCCAGCTAGCCTGCGTAATCGAGAGAATAAAGGAACTGTGACCGATGTTTTTCCAGTTCATATATCTGTATTAAATTTTCGCGACTACAACATTTCGTTTTCCGACCCTCTTTAGGGTCGGGACCTATAGTTTAAGAAACGCTGATTTAAAGAAATAAAGAATTAATTACATTTTTAAAATACTATATAATACCTTTAATTATCTAATGCACAAGATTTTTTGCTATGTTGAATGAATGATAAATGTGTTTACATTTTAGCCTACAAAGCAAAATTGGCTGTTCCTAAATTGGTAGAGAAAGTCCTCAGCGGGGATATACCTCTGAATAAACTGATTACACATCGTTTGCCTTTGGATCGCATTAATGATGGATATGAAATGCTAAAAACTGGAGAATCGTAAGTGTATTTGAGTCATATATATATATATATATATATACGTTGTAAACTTTGATTATTGTAATTTAGTCATTGTATATTGCTCAGTTTCTAGGACATTAGTAGACAGAGACTAAATAAAATCTAATTTACTAAATTATTTAAGTGAACTATTTGCGAAGTACACTGTTGCATTTTGATGGTATTTAGAGAAGAAGCATGGCAATGGATATAATACGTCTTTCACGTCATCGTCATTTTTTCAGGGCACATTTACCTAGCTCAGCATTCTCTTCCCCCGCTCTCTCTTCAGTCGCGTTGAGCTGTTGCACTCCTGATAAATATACATATGTATGTATGTGTATATAGAGAGAGACATACGTGTCTATATATATATAGAGAGAGAGATATAGATATATTGTAATTTATTCATCGTGATAATGCTTTAGTTATTTGCATACACTTCTTAGGAAATAAAAAAACTTGTTTGGAATTATTTTCGAAAGGATCAGTTACAAGGTATTTCTCCCGCCTTCTTAGCAGGCCTTCGTGGTGTAATGGTCAGCACGCTCGGCGTATTCAAGAGGTCAGAGGTTCGACTCCTGGTGAGGGCATTGCTCATTTTTCATGTCTCCTGCTTCGAAATAACCTAACGTCTCTACAGTGGCGCCCGAACTAAAGAAGGTGGTGGATGATGACTCATAACCACCAGGATTTGGCTATTGGGTTCCATAATCACCAGTCTCCCTTTAAAAGGGAGCGTATATAAGGTATTTCTCTCGCCTTTGTAGTGTAATGGTCAGCACACTCGCCACGTATTCGAGAGGTCCGACTCCCGGCGAGGGCATTGCACTTTTTTCATGTCCCCTACTTCGAAATAACCAAATGTCTCGACATAGTTGGCATTTGGTATTAAAAATATCTAATAACTGGTAATAACAAAAGTAACTGAAGATTAAATTTTAAGCTAAGATATGCCATTCTACTTTTTTTATTCTTATCGTTTTCTTAAAATAACATATAGTACCATAATATGTTTATGCCAAAAAAAAAAAAAATACACTTACATTTTTTCGAATTTTCCTGGCTGGGGTGTCTTATTTCAGTAGAACTTTTGCAGTTTAAGTGAGTGAATGTAAACTCTAAAACTTATTGATGTTGAGATAATTTGATATCTGACCACGGTGGAGAGAGTTCCGCTATTGGAAGCATGCTAGCAGAGTTCGATTCTTATAAGTAAGGAAGGAAGGAATATTCCTCAGATATAACTTTTCCTTATAAACACAAATTCCAACGCATGGAATGATCACTTCTTGTTACAAGTAAGAAAACAATTTCTGCCATGCGCAAATGCATATAAGGATCGAAGCTGCTATGCATGGTCAAGGAGTAATTCATATAAAAATTACTCATTATTTATAAGGTAATTGCGTTTTCTGGAAGCAACGCGACAAATTAACTGTTTTCTGGCCGGTATTCGAACCATGAATCTGCTACCGGTATTCGAATCAAGGATCTTCTACTGGTATAAATAATTTCAAATACTTCTACCGGTACCAAGGATCTTCTACCGGTACGCATACCGTAGAAGAGAGAAGAAAATTCATGGTTCTTCTACCGGTACGCATACCGGTAGAAAAACCATGAATTTTCTATTGGTATGCGTTTCATGGCTGGCAATACCATGACAGCACGCATGGAGAAATATGGTAATTTCTTGCATTGTACCATATTTCATGGGCGACTGAGAAAAAGCACGAGACCCAGTCGGCCAAACCCAGTTGATAATAAATTGCTGTCCATCACGTTCTAGTTTGGACGCCATTGGGGAGACAAACATGAAAATTCAACTTTGCCCTTCCGGAGATCGAGACCACGCGTATCGTACGATTGTTTGTTGGGGTGCAAATCATTTACACTAAAAGAGTATGCACGGAGGGATATACTAATTCCTAGTATATCCCTTTACTTAACGAGCAACTGAAGAGAGGCGTGGGACCTAAGCAATCAAATTCAACTGACGAAGGAGTGTTCCCGGCCTTAGGCTCCAAAGAATGAACAGGATGTTCCTGGTATAACTTCATTATAATTCCACTTTGACTACGAAGTCCTTTTCAAAAGCACCGTACGTCCTAAGACAGGTAGTCTTGGAAGGATTTGCCTTTATTAATAACTTAATATAACTTTACTTGCTTAGAAAAGAAAGGACAATTTCGCGGTTCTTTCCAAAGAAAGTTGATTCGTATTCACGTTATGTAATGACAAAAGTTATGAAAACTGCATGTACAACCAAATCAAACGCCTGAAAGGAAATCCGAAAACAGGCCAACATTACTTTGCAGCACTAACTTCTCTGTCGTTAGTAAGCTGTAGAGAAATAAGGCTAAATTTTCTAAGATTTCATGATATAGCTTTCTGATTTTTCATTTATAATCGCTACCGACATTCGCTATCGATAATGAAAAACATAAACATTTTTTGGATATGGGTGCCCTCAAATATATCACTAAAAGTAGAATCTATGATTCTAATTCTTTCCAACGGACGGTATCCTAAGAAGCTAATCCGGATTCTTCTAAATAAGTAAAATTTTTACTCCTTTTCTTGTTAATCTCTCTCTTTTGAAGGGCGTATGGGGAGGCGATGCTAACACACAGTGAGAGCAGCATCTTATTTCCGTATCAGCTTTGATCTATAGATTGGCGTAAGCACACAAAGCACTTGCCTACTTATTCGTCAGAGTTTCAAAGTGATAAGTTGCAGAGAATTACAATCCGTTCGATGCTATTTTGAACAGTATTATCAAAACCCGTTGGATACACTTGTTATCATTAATTAAGGAAAAAATCACAAGAAAAACGATTGCTCAAAAAGTTACATATAGAATGCAATGAAATTGAGCCACAATATACGACAGATAATAAGGTATAAAATAAATTGAAAAGAAGTTACCAGACAATTATGGTGTTATAAAAATTAACATATGTATAAAATGAACATATCGGATGTGTCATTTTGGTTATAGGAAAATTACCTTCGCTATGGAGTATGAGCTAACCCAGAAGCAATACAATACATACAGCGATGTGCGATGCTGTCAATTATTCAGTCTATCTGTTCCGTAAGAAATGAGTTCCAAAGCAGTTGCAGGCTTGACAAGGGTCTGAAGAGGAAACCTGAGAGCAGCTATACTTCTTTCTAATGCATCCCAAACATGGTCGAAAAGATTCAGGTCCGGTGATCGAGCTGGCCATTCCATGCGCTGAGTTGCTTGCTGCTGAAGATAAATAATTATCCACATTGCGAGGTGCGGTCTAGCGCTGACATCCTGTAGCAGGAAATTATTAACTATTGCCCCGACATAAGGGCGCACATAAAAGCATCAAGGATGTCATCTCTACAGGTCTAAGCATTCATTGTTCGACGCATAAAGACATGGAAGCCTGTGCGTCCACCCAAAAAGATACCAACCCCAAACACAGACATTTTCTCCTCCGTATGCATCTCTTTCATGGATGTTTGATGGATGATGATGGGGTTCTAGGTTCTCTCCAAATCAAATAACTCCTACTATCGCTTTGGAAGCTAAATTCGAACTCATCCGTAAAGGAACAGCCCTCCACTGATCCGGCCATCCAGTGGGCATGTTGATGTGCCACCTTTAACGTTCCCTTCTATGACGTGACGTGAGCGGCACGCAAATGGTTGGTCACCTCGCGTACAGATCTCTTTCGTGAAGCCTTCTACACAGGGTTGATATTGACATCAACTTTTCAGTGGCTGCAGCAAAGATGGTCTGAGATGAGTCGGAGTTAAGGTTCTATTCCTTCGTGTGCATAACAACAAATATCGGTCATCAGCTCTCGTCGTAGCGGTTAGCCATTCTTGACTGAACTTCCTGGATGCCGAATCTGTGGTTAGAAATTGTTACCAAAATCTATGAACCACAGAAGGATTCACAATTAGCCATCTGGCTAATTCTGTCTGACTTTGTCCTGCCTCCAGTCTCCCGATAGCTCTCCATCGCATCGGTCAAATAATGCCTGGGGTTACAAGTTGGCTATCGCAGACTCCTTATTTCAGTATAGCCAAATTGGCGGGCTTGCTCTGAAACGTGCAATTTTGTGCTCCTCGTAGATGGCGTATTTCGATTGCAGCGGCACTAATTTGTACAGAGCTGTTTTACTCAGCAGTTCTTATTTGATAACAAATTAAAATTTTATATGGATTGGCTTATTTTTGTACGAGTTATCACTATTTTTGTAATTTTTCCTTTAAGTTTTGGAAACTAGTGTAATAATAATGATAATAATAGTTAATCATCAAAAGACTCAAATGATTGTTCTGTGAGTATCTCTGGGAATCAGATAACCAACAAGAACAAACAACCCGAATTTTTAGAGATATATACTTACCAATTTTTTTTTTTTTTTTTTCTTTTCAGGTTAAGGGCCATTGTGGATTTTGACCTCAAAGCCTAAAAGACTTTCCTGTATAAAAGTCTTTTAAATGAAATTGGAAATAAGGATAAATTACTGTTATTATTCTCTGTCTACCACGTTATTTCATTGTTTTCATTAGTCAAAATATCATAATGTACTTGAAAAAAAAAATCGATTATATAAAAGTACAAATAAATCATTTGAAATTTGTACAAATGTAATCATTTTATTAAAGATAAAATTATTTCACTTTTTTTATTAAAGTAGAATATTTTTTTCATATTAGTACAATAAATTCTTTCTAATATTAAGTATCATGTCATGATGATAAACAACTGTGGGAGAGAAATTTCAACATCAGATGAAACATTTTATTCACCATTTACTAAAAAGTGCTTCGATTTGAGGACCGAATAGATTGTTAGTAAAATTTTGATAGTCCAACACCCAGTGATTCAGCACACCCAGTAATTTGGTACCCCTTTCACCAATTTTCTTATCAAAAATAAGATGGTGCGTCTAGTATTGTATTCGGCAAGCCTCGGCCAGTTGCTTCTCCTCTTTTTGCCATTTTCAATTAATTCTGTGTTTAAAACTTCGCATTTATTTACCGCTTGCTTTATTTATAAGAAATATTTTTAAAACTTTATAAAATATGAATAGGAGTAGAAAATGGAAACACGTGACTAACAATTCACCAGAAACTGGATAATGTTAATTCAACCTACGGATCAAAGAGTTATACTCGAAACTCTAAATGTGTATATATAAGGGAATTCGTTTCTGAAATATTTACTAAACTCTGACGGCAGCTTCAAGGACTTCCAAGATCAGTTCAATAAAAAAAATTCAATTTTCTTGGTTGTTGTTGGTTGGAAAGTTGAGGTGAAGTCCTGTTGAAATAGAGATACTTGATTATTTATGAATTGCTGCTCCTTTGGCCTTGATAACGACTGTCACACGATGAGGCATAGATTCAACAAGTCTGAGGAACTATTCCAGAGGTATGGAGTGCCAAACGGATTCTACACTTTTTCATAATTAACTTCAGGACACTGGTGGATGGTTTAATTTCATATCTTTTTCCAGAGTATTCCAAAAGTGTTCAATGGGATTTTAACCCAGAATTTTCAGTGGCCATTTCAGTAGGGAAAATTCATTGCAATGCTCCTGGAACCAGGTGAGCTAACCGAGATTAACTGCATTACATTATACAAAAAATACTATAATTTCACTGAAAATGATTTACATATGTGCAAAATCAGTAACAATAAATGTGGGCACTTCATTTTCCTGAAGCTTCAACTCTGTGCCAGAGTTCATTAACTGTACTGGCTGCCGAGTGGTGTCGTGCCATTTTATTGGTAACACATGACTAGATATTCTTAGTGAATGAGAGTTCTGAAGAACATGATGGCCAACAGCCGAATTTCATCAGGTCAGTACATCATGGGCAACATGCGGTCATGCATCTTTCTGAAACATGGCGTCACGTAAGCCTTCAAGATTCAGCCTAGCTATGAGCCATAACACGTCAGAAATGTAACAGTGGCCCTCCACACTACATGATATGCGAACAAGAGATGACCGGTATATGTTCCCAATCTCACCTTATACCATTCATGCAAATCTGACGTTTGACTGGGCCCGTATGACACTGATTGAAAGCAAGCGAGCTACTTCATTTTCCTCATTCATTGTACATTGCTCATTTTGCTCTCGAATCATCCACACACCGATAAGTCCATCATGATGCTGTACGCAGAAGCAGGTTTGGACGTGTCGCCACTTCTGTATCCAGTGTCATCACTCAACTGTAAACGTGCATATGTCTGCTACACAATACTGTCTTAGCATTATGAATCCCTGGGTAAAGCAGAGCGCTGGGGCCCCTAAGACAGCCACTCACCGATCTGAAATGTAAACGGATTAAGATCATGATCTTATATTTAGGAAGCCCCTGAAGAAGCGCCCAGCGGGCCACTGCGTTAAGACAATTGTGCTGCTGCAGCGTTCAAGGCTAACGGCAACAATGATCGTCGGTGTGATAGTCTGTGTGGCTGCAGACGTAATCGCATTGGATATGCGGACACTTGTCGTCCTGCACACAAACAAGTTCTTGATCCAGGATACGTAAAGTGGTTGTACGATCACACAAGGCCAAAAGCATATCATGTCCAACCTGTTAGGCGTTGGAGGCCTGGAACCGCTGAAATCTGGCTTCAATAAGGTTCTCCTAAACTCATCGATTTCATGTTCACCTGACAGTCATGGGATTCCAACCTACGTGAGCAGCAATGTCTAGAGGATAAACTACGGTCCTGGTAGGCAATAGTCCTGCTGAGGTCAAACTTTGACACGCGCTGATAAACATCGGCGTAGCCAGATTCCGATCAGAGGAGGTGCAAATGACTTTTAATTCAGAAATTAAACTGGACAGGAAATACGCCAAACAGTGGTTGAGTGAAAAGACAGCTGAGTACTATTAATCTCGCCCAAGAGTTAAAATTGCGGGATTTTCCGCAAATAACCTGCTGAATGAGCATTTTCGTAATTTTTCACAAATATCCGTGTAACATGAATACGGGATAGTTTCTCTTCCGTGAAAGTATCCCTTTCCTTAGGCAGATTGCTGTAATCGAACAATCGCATGCTTTACACCAATCGATTAAATAAGTAAATGATTAATGGACTCGAATATATGAGTACCCAAGTAGAATCATTAGAATATTTCGAGGTCAGGAAACTGAAGAAATCCGGAAATGCCTTCGCCGCGATTTGAATTTCGGACCTGCCGAATACGGGCCAGTGTGCTTCTAGTTACACCATGAAGGAATGTGGAAAGGAGGGCGAAAATACCTTATATACTTCCCCCCTTTAAAGGACGACTGGGGATTAGAGCAAGATATCTAGATATCTAGATATCTAGTTGGCCTTGATATCTAGTTGGCCTTGACCCAATCGCTAAATTTTGTTAGAGATGAATTATCGTCCATCATCTTTTAGTTTGGAAACCACTCATTTGGGAATTTTTTTATGTCAGAAAACTGAAGAAATCCTTAATACCCTTGCCGGGATAAGAAATCCGAACCTCCTGAATGCGCGTCGAGTGTGCTTCCAGTTAGGCCATGAAGGCATGCAGAAAGGAGGGAGACAATACCCTATAAGCAGATTGTTGAAGTTTGGGGAACGGGAACAACGAGATTCCTGAAACTTTTTTTCGCTTTTTTGACTTATGCTACAGCAATTTGAATACTGCCTAAGATAAATCTCTGTAGGATTTTCTACATATTTCGATTTTTCTTTCTTCAACTACCATCACCATATTTATGTAGTTATCCAACCTATCACCAATCACAGTTGAGCGCAACCAATTTTTTATTCTGTTCAAGGCTGTTAACACGTGTGGTATCAGAGCTTAAATTGAGCCGGAACTCATCGGAGCCTAGCTCCGGTACTTCTCAGTTTCTGAGGTAAATCTCAATTCTAGCCATAGCGCACCGAGTCCTAAATAAAAGGGCTCCAGTACTTTTTTTATGTAAGTAAAACACAGTTTCAACAGACAAATTTTATTTTAAAAATAAATGCACCTCTAAAATCGATTATAAGTTCCGAATTTATGCTTGTCTTTCTCTGGGGAACAAACACTTTACAGAGATTTAGACTTTTAAGGAAAGAAAAGCCCCCATCCAAGTGTCAAAGGTCTGCAGATAGTGAAATAAATTTATAAAAGTGGGTAAAATGTTTTGTTTACGAAAGTATTAACTATGATTACGTCGGTCTTCCACGTCCAGTACTAATAGTTCAGTGAGAGGTCTAATGATCTCTCTTTGCAATGTTTCTGCAAACTTGAACTATGTAACCAAACACGGGGAACAAAAATTGTCACTTATGCAGACCTTACATGTGTTCACAATGTTGTCATCGGATCGGATTCGAGGGAAACTTTTTTGCCCAGTAGCATTCTGCTTAAGAACTAGAATTATATTGGCAGGGCATCGCAGTAGGAAAGCGTTGGACTTTTCTCTCTTTGTTTTCGGAGCTACAATTCTCCATTAAAATTTCTTTCCACACTAATATATATTGTTTCTGACATTCTCTCTATTTTCATTAGTGATGCTTTAATCATTTTACTTTTTTTCACTGGCGTGCTGGAAAAAGAAGTGTCTCCTTCCCAATTGAAATTGTATGTTGTACTGTATACTAAGTCTAAATTCAGCTGGAGGCCGTCAGTCTCCAGCTGAATTCTGAGTCTAAATTCAGCTGGAGGCCGACTGAGCTATTCTTAGTTTTTTGCTTGAAATTTAAGTCTGGCCGGTGCCCCAAATAAGACGAGGTCCTATATTTTGTTTCTTTTATTTAACTATTTATAATTAATTTAATAATTTATTAAATTTTATTTATATCTTTATATTTATTGCATTTTAATTAAAATTTAATTGTTAATTATTTTATTTATTTATTTTTTACCCTCTTCCTGACGGCCTTCCAGAGGGCTCCGGGAGTTCGAAGAAGGCTCGGGAGTTCGCGTATTATACCACGCAAGGCTTAATACGCGATCAGACAACAAAAATAAGAACATGTTTTGGGAAAAATTTCGTAGTCTCTCCTTTTGCGAAATCTTCCAAAGTTAGCTTTTTCATGCTTCCAGTCTTTAGCTACTATATCCAAAAATTATACCAAAATTCAATCTCATTTCTACCAGCGGCCGAGATTCGAATCCCGCAAACGGGCTGGCTGCATGGGCGTTTTCGTGGTTTTCCCCATGTGTAACATGTATACGAGCCAGTTTCCCTTAGAAAGTCCTCCACGAAGGCATCCCTCCCCTTAGGCAGATAGCCCTAGTGTGCTTTGCCGTAATTAAATAAACCAAACCATCTCACTTCTAAAATATTCCAAAGCATAAAAATCACGAAACGCTGCACCTTTTTTGCTAAACATTTTATCTGGCATCTTTATCATAGATAATAGTAAAAAAATGCTCATAAACTGCCCATGGAAAATCTTTTTCTTTCTAATGATACTATAAAAAACCAGATATATAATTATGAGATTCTATCTAAAATTCTTTAATTTCAGATCTTGAAGAATCTGAGAGATGTTCCACTTACGATCCTCGGCGTTTGCAATTCAGTGATAAAATGCTAAGCTGACGACAGAATATTCCCAAAATAAAAGTCAATTTCTTTACGAGGTTCTTCCTTGAGTATCAAAAATCTATTAATGTAGTCCTCACATAACAACATATTCACATTTCTTGATAGTTAAGTATTAACAGAATATAATATAAACATGAAACGGACAATATTTGTATCAGACCCATGGTTGAAGAATCCAAAATGCAGAAAAACAATGATGCATACTTTAAAACTTTCAGCAATTCTTTCAAACTATAAAGTTTGTCAATGATCTGGACGATGTTTAGGAAATTTAATAAACAGCGAATGACTTTTTCTACTTTAGAGAAACTTGAATTAAATTAAAATAGAGAATTAACGACTAAAAGGATACGATAAACATAATTTTTCATAAGAATAAAGTAATGGCAGATTCGGATTAGCAATTAGCTTTCTCACATAAAAGGAAAAACTAATTAATGTATTAAAGTCACTACAGGATTGGTAAGGTTAGATTAACTGATTAAAGCAAAACAATGTTAGGGCTGTTTCCCTATGGCAGCACAAGAATAATGTCGCTAAGTCTGCTATTATTATTATTCATATTATTATATTAAACTGGTGTTCAATCTGGCTAGGTTGCTGATTAACTGCTACAGAATCATAAACAAACAGAAATATTCGGATGGCTGCAAAATATTGAAACACTAAAAATAAAGCACATTAAATTTAAATTTTACATGGTAAACGAGTTCTTGGGGAAAAAAAAAAAAAAAAAAACACGCACAAATTATTCACACATACACATATATATATAAAAAAACGAAGCATGTCTGGATTTTTATGTTTGTTAGATGACCGTAAAACATGCAAGTGCTATCATCTGCCTATGGGAAGGGATGCTTTCATAGATGCCTTTCTCAAGAAAGCAGGCTGCTATTCACTTATATATGAAGAGAACCGTAAGAACAAGCTTACTTCGAAACTACAAATGGTTCAAATTATCTAAAATTTTGTCTGATCTATTCGCTCACTGAGCTCACTGAGCTCCGAAAATACAAAGAAATGAAAGATTAGTTCCAGATAGGAGGAAACACCCTGTGAATAGTTGATAAATCATAACAAAATGTTAAATTTCATTTTTATTAATTATTATTTTCTTTACTAAGTTATTTTTACTTGGTTTCTCTGTTTGTTTTTATTAAATCTTCAAACAAGTTTTTGATTCTTTTAACAACCGGAGTAAACTATTCCAACGAAATGCTTCAAAATTTGAAGCGGTTATTTTTTTTTTTTTTTTTTTTCTTTAATGCTTATATTTTCTGTCATGTTCTTGTTTTAACTGTCGCAAAATTTTTATATTTTTACCCCTAAGTAGATTGGAAAATAAAATTTCAAATAAAGAGTTTTAGGAAATTCTAAAGTAATTTACCAGATTTTGGTGGTTTTTAAAAAATCATTCAACTTTATTATTATTACTATTATTGTTATTGGTAATAGGGACGGATTTCCGGATTGAATAAATTGAACATTCTTTTTAGCAAAGTATAATTTTAAGGGATAGACATCTAAGTTACACAAAAATTTCAATTTCAGCAGGCATTTAAAGTGGCTACTAATTATGTTATCAGACCTATTCTAACTCCGCGTCTAAGTTGCCGCGGAGTTAGTAGAACTTACAACAATTTAAATAACTATGGTAATAAATAGAAACATCAAAATTTCTTCACTTTTGTGTTTTTCGATATGTCGTAAAGTTTTCATCTAAAAAATTGTTTACTTTTTAAAATCCCCACTAGATGGCAGCAGCGTAAAGAATAATAACGTAGTTTTCTGACACGATGACGATCAACGACACGTGTCTGTAATAGAATACTCCTCCTCTTCCATTTAAAACTAATCTTCTTACCGACATCTAAGAAATAAATATAGTTCTGAATGTCATTTTAAACATGTTTATGGCGCTTGGCTAGTTTTTCTAGTTTTCAGGTATAGATTAACCTAATTTTAAAATTGGCCGCATACTTTCTTAGTTAAGAATTTAACATTGATGCAGTTACTTTTGACTCCTGATTTCATTTGCAGATCTTGATTTTCATCTGATTTAAATTTATATTTCTTTTATACTTACATTATAAACTATATATGTTTAGTTTCATTATGTGTGCCGCACACTGACCGAATATGCAGTACCGGAAATACCTGTAGCGCCTGGAACCCATATCCCCTATACAGTGATAGATTCTGAGTATCGTAGAATTTGAAGGGACTGGCATTACGAAACTAAAATCAGTCTTTGTCATAGTAGTTATGTAGTGCCTATGTATGTCATTTTGTTCTGATAATAACTGGCTGCGAGCAAAGGACGTAGAAATAAATTTTACATATTTGTCAGATAATTATCTTCAAATTAAAGATTATATTTTTTAGCTTTTAAAATGCGTCAGTTTCATTTCGTAGTTACGCTTTTCGTTTTTGTATTAATAATAACCTTTATTGGTAATATAATTTACGAAATTTCAGGAATGATGAGTTGTGAAATATGAAATGATTATTTTAATTTGGAGTTATTGCTCATTTATTCCTATGTACGTTTAGAATTATTTTTTTAAATACATAAATTTTCTTTATATCTCCGAATTTTTCATAAATTTGTAACCAATTACATGATTGTCTAACGTTTATTATGCACAGCAATTCTAAAATATTGAATTTTAATTTATTCTTGCTCTCATTTACTCGCACTTCATTACATTATTTTCATTTATAATTGAGATTAATGATAAAATAAAATTTTATTTATCTGCATAAGTATGTATATATACATATAATATTATTCCCTTTCCTCTAAAATTTCGGGATTGTTATTTATATGTAGTAGTTTTGGTAAAGATATATAATGAAATTTTCTCAAACAGGTTTTAATTGTGCACTTTTATAGCTTTGCATTATTATGAAGCTCGCCCATAATGGATTACCATAGTCGAAGTGTATACAGAACAGTTTATGCAATTGCTATGATATTTGGCCTTCTGAGTATTGTTCTTGTTTTAATATGGACCGTGAAGTATCTTGGAGGCTTTGCTTGGCAAGAAGATCCACTGCATCAATTTAATTATCACCCTGTTTGTGCAGTAATAGGAATGATTGTGCTATATGGAAAAGGTAAGTGCTTGATTATTTTTGTATATCTTCTTTAAAAAGGTAATATAAATACGTTTTATGAAATTTTATTCCAGAATAGTATATACTTTTTAAAACTTATAATGTTGAAAGGCCCACCAGCGGCCGAGCGGTAAAGTCGTTGAACACTGGTAGTTCAGTCCGAGGTTCGAATCCCGCGAACGGGCTGGCTGCATGGGCGTTTTCGTGGTTTTCCCCATGTGTAACGTGTATACGAGCCAGTTTCCCTTAGAAAGTCCTCCACGAAGGCATCCCTTACCTTAGGCAGATAGCCCTCGTGTGCTTTGCCGTAATTAAATACACATACATTGTGAAAGAACTTATTTGGTGTGCGTGATTTATATATATATATATATATTTAAATCTTGAAAAGCACAGTAATATATAAGAAAGGGCTGTAGTTATAAAATAAGGATTATGAGCTGATGATAATGTTTAAATGCATTTGAATTGAAAAAACATTTTTGTCAACTTAGTTTTTTTTTTTTTTTTTTTAAATTTTAATCATTAACATATTTATCTTTGCATCAAAAGTATATAAATGGCATAAAAAATATGATTTTATATTCTATGATGTAAACAATAAGAAAATCAGTTATTTTATACTCAGGATCAGAATTCCGCAAATTACATAATTTATGTTTATGCAGTTTTTTAATAACAAATTCGTAACAGTAGAATAATAAAAGAGGAAGGCCTTGGCGCGATTTTTGAAAATTGTCGCCAATACCAAAATGACTCGTTTACCGCTCATCATAATGTCGTCAAATCTCGTGTGTGCCATACACTAGGATTATACCGAAGAGACGAAATTGTACTTGTAGTATGATATACTAATCTAATTTTATTTCCTTTTTTAAAGATATGAATTGTATATTCCATAATTCGGCTCTAGTGTAGAATTGGGTGCCCGTTCGATTAGCGACAAATTTTGTACTATTTTGGCGATGAAACACCCATTTCTGGTTACCATTATAGTTTTAACTTTATTTTAGCTTACTGATTTTTTTTTTAAATGAAAATAGATCGATGTGTACATGGTCAAAGTTAAGGCAGTGCGCAATGCCTAGTTTGATACAATTGTCTTATGTTTTTTTAAACACCGAGTTTGTGCAATTCTTTGACTTCTTATTTTGTTTTTGTAGCGGCCATCTTGAAATTGTGCATTTCTAGCGCCGATCTTGGCGCCAAAAAGTAAGGGGCACCCAGTTGTAAACGTTTACCCCATTTCTTAATCAGCTCTGATTTAAAATTGATTTATTTCAGTTTGCAAATGTGAATAAATGAGAGTTATAAACTTTGATGATTGATTGCCTTACAATAGTAAAGTATTCAAATTAAATTTACTAGCTGTTGAGAAACCACTTGCACTTTGTCAGAGCTGGTGAGAGCAATCACTTGCAATTAAATAACAAAATTCCTAAATACAGGTACAAATCTAGGCAAGTGACTGGCTGCATAGGGTTTTTTGTGATTTTCTCCATGAATAATATTAATACAAGCTAGTTTACCTTAAAATGTCCACCACGGAGATATCAGTTTTCCTAAAGTTCATAGCCCTTGTGTGTTTTGCTATACTCTTATCAGGGGCTCCCAACAGATTCAGTCCCTGGAAGTTGATGAACTTTTAAAGGGGTCAGTGATGAACAAAGAGTTGATAGCCAAATGTGCACAACAACTCTTTGGCATAATAAAAGTCTCATTCATTACAAAATTATTTATCAATAAATTGATCACCAATTATTTATCAATAAATTGACCATTAATTGTTTATTGATATAAAACAATATTGTAACAAAGTCCTATTCAAAATATATGGGTATACTACTAGGTTTTGAAATATGAAAGTCATCAAAGAGAAAAATCCCAATTTCAAAGATATTACGAAACCAACATTATTGACTTTTCCTTCTTCATACCAAGTAAACGTACCTACTTAGCTAGGCTTTAGTTAAAGCAATAATTTATCACAGAAAATAAGAAACATTTTGATATATTTTTGACGAAAGTGATTTAAGAATCAAGTTAAACAATTTTATGCCAAATATTTTTTAAAAATTACATCATTATATCAAGCATTGCCATCACATTCATTAAAAATGAGCTCTTGGGCAATTAGAATATGTGATTTTGTTTTTGAAAACTTGTTTATATTTCTAAAATTAAAAATAATAATACAAAAATAATAAAACATTAATCTTTTGGAATGCGAGATAAGTTCTCCAATTTATGACTCCATATTATTTAGAAATATGCTCATTTATTTACAAGTTGAAAATATATCCTATGTACAAAAAAGAGATATATTATGACCATGCAATTTTGAAACTAAACATTAAACAATTTATTGTTCTAAGCTTATTATTACTATGGCAGCTTTCAATGAAGTTTAATCGTTGTGACAGTCTAATAAACCTTCTTTTTTTTCATATTCTTAATCAAATAGTTATCTTAAAATTATTTATTTATATGCAGTTATTTATATTATGTTATATGCTGTATTTTGTAGAGAAAAATGTAAGGCAGTTGATGAAGAAAACCTTTTTTAAAAGGTCAGTACAAGAAAAAGGCTGGAAGCCTTCAATCTAAATAATCCAGTTCAAAGCTATCGCAGATGGCCTGCCTGTCACGTCAACTTTAATTTAAATTGTATTCTGTTTAATTCTTTTCTCATTTTGGCACTCCTCTTGTTGCTAGTATATGATGCTTGATGTGTAAGTTAGCTCTTCTGCAGCCCATACCTGGGGCTAACAAAATTTATTGTTACTAACGGCAGATTTTCGAGTTTGTGTAAATTTTCATATCTTTAATCATTCTAAAATTATTTTCAGGATTTTAAATTTCAGCAATATCACTGAAAAATGACTTTGGTGAATTGTTTAACTGAGTACTCATTAACATGTATTATATTTTCATCTGTAAGATTTAAGGATGTGAAACTGGTATTTATCAATATCTGTCAATACATAGCAAAACAGTCTGTTTGCACTTTATAATTATAAAATCTTTATTGTTATTATTATTTCCAACAGCCTTTTTTTTTTTTTTTTTTGTTTGTTTGGTAGTTACAGTTTTCTAAATTGTATCAAGGTGAATCTTATTCCATGCTTCGATGAACACAGATAAGTAAAAGAACAGGTGATGATGAGCTATACTACATTGCTACTTATTCCTTCATTTTGGTGTTGTATTATCTTATTTGCATTTGAATCGTAGTCTCAAGATCAAAATTTTAATAAGAAAAGAAACCATATCCACCCTCCCTAGGCACCCCCCCCCCAAATAGAGAGAGAGAATGATAACCAAAATAAGAATAGTTTTAAAAAATAAGAAATATATCATCTTTCCAGATGATTTGGAACAGCTTCAAAAGTTGCTGAATACTCGCAAAAATGAGAGGTATAGGTGGTAATTTTGATGAGGAAGGGAGGGTGGTTTCTGGTGTCTTGTCTGCAAAACTGTTTGTAAAGTTTATTTGAAATTACCATCATAAGAATCTTGAAGTAGCCAGTGTTTATTATGATAATAATGATAATAATTTATGCCTTTTAAACCTAGAGTTTTTTTACTGTTTCCACTAACCACTGGGGTCTTTTTGATTGTTGCATTCATATTGCAATTTAATAATACAGTAACTTCTAATTTCTTAAAACCAGCTGCTGTTTCACATTTAAACATTAATGCATGCTCTGATAATGCTGAGTAAAACAGAAACAGACCAGTTTCATCGGTGTTATAAACTTTGTGTAGCTTGCATTACTTTAGAAGCATGGATAAAACGTCTTTTATCCATTTCTCAACCATATGATGATCTGCCCCTTGCTCCTTAGCATGTAGTTTTTGATAAACATGCTATTTCTCTCTTTCAATCTTGTGAGTTATCCATCAATTGGCACAAAATCTTCTCCTACATTTTAATGAATTCTACAGCTTCTGTGATCAAAAGAGCCCTAAAAGTTAGAACAGCTTTGGAACCATTCTAGAAGGGGGTTTTGATGTCTCTCGATTTACCATCCCTTTTGCACTTCTTTGAGACATTTGCATTTTTTACGAGTTCTTTATCAATTTTACTTTTTTGTTTAGCACAAATAGCACAATGCTAAGTAAATAGCACACAAAACATATAATCTTTGAGAAATTTATCATTTTCTTTTGGGCTTAAATAATTTCATGCATTTTCAACATTGCAAGTGATGCACACAGCAAATAAAAAATGTTTCGTCCATTGATTTGTTCAAATTCAAAATTCTCTTTTCTTGCCAGCAAGATTTTACCTTTGTTTGTCAAGATGACATGTTACTTCACAGTTATAATAGGCATAATTAATGCTTTCTTTTCCTTTTTCTTCAGCATAAAATGACCACTCCCATTTTCCATTCAAAGACCGATAATGTATAATAATGCAAGGAAACATTTCATGATGTTTTCGGAAAACTTGCAAACTCTGTGTGTATGCAAGTCCCATCTTATGTTATCTGGTAGTAGAGAAAGAGCGTTCATTTAAGCATTATCTAATGTTTTATCCTAAAAAGCACTCATTCATTTATAATCAAAGAACTTGTTGCCAATGCCTCTAGAAGGCTGTTTTTATAAACATAAGATAAAGATATTCTACCACTTTCAGCTCTAGTCCAGATAAAGAGATTTGAAAAGTGTTTGACATTAACTAGGGAAGAGTACCCAACACCCCAAGGGGTCTTGATTCTAACTACGCTAGAGAATTTCTTCTAAATACATTTTATTAAAGCACTACATAACTGTAAGATAAATGAATGAACTACTAACAGCTTTCATCAGCCACAAACAGTTTATTTCAAATCTGAATAATCTGACTTATGCCAGTTTGACTTTCAAGTTGAAGAGATGAGTTTAATAAATGGCGAGTTTTCTATAGTTAAAATTTCTTTTGGAAATTTAAACACAATAAGTGGCTGAATTATTAACCAGCGAGTTTAATAAGGGGCAGGCACTGAATACATATTATTTTTTATGAATATTCTAATCAATGCAGTACTTGCGTATTATTCTGCCGATCTGCCAAGTAGCAGATCACAACTTAATACCAATTATGTATGACCGTGTACTTTAGAACTCAACAGAAATGATTGGTGACCATCACTGAAATTTCTGCCAGTGGTTAAGTACTATGAATGCTTATGGCTTATTTAGTCTGTTTTGAATACCTTAGTTATTTTAATTTTTTTCGTGTTTTGCATTAAAATGTATATAGTTCATTAAATATGGTTTATTTCAAGAATTTCTTTTTTTTATTTTTAGGCCTTTTATTATATCGTACTATGCATTACAAACCAAAAATATATTTGAAACTTCTCCATACATTGACTTTAGTGGTAGTTTTCATTCTTGCTGTGATATCTTTAAAGTGTGCCTTTGATTCTCATAACTACCGCTCTGTGCCAATACCAAATTTATATAGTTTGCATAGCTGGATCGGCTTGGTAACAGTTATTTTTTATTCTGCACAGGTATATATATTTTTAGTATATGTAATTTTATTCATAACAGGTGATAAATGTATAGGTTTCAATTAAAAAAATAGTAGTTGACTAATTTACAGGAATTACTGGTTAGGCACATTAATAGCTTTATTTGTTGATCAGAATAAGTTCAGATTTTTCATTAATGTTCATGCAATAGAATTTTACTTGGCATGGAGAAAAGATTAGCTTCAACATGTCACAAGGTGGCTTTTTGCCATAATGAATGCTGCTGTTGTTAAAGTATGCAAATTAGATATGCTTTAAATATGCTCTTGAGCAGGGCTTAATTTCTAAAATTAGAAGTGAGGAATGAAAGAAAAAATAAATAAAATAGCTAAAAATTAAAATAATTAACTAATTGAATTTAGAGAAATATAAAGAGAAATCTAATAAATTATTTCATAAATTTTAAATAGTTAAATAGGAAAAAAAAAAAAATCAAACCTTGTTTTATTTGAAGCATTGGCTGGAATTATAATTCCACTTATAAGCTAAGAAGTAGCTCAGCTAATCTTCATCTAAGTTAAGCCCTGGTTATAGTATAGTATATATAATGTACTATTCCAGGGAAGACAAGTAACCCTCTTTTTTTTTTTTTTTTTTTTGGCAGAACACAAAGGAGAAAAGATAAAATGGTTAAAGTTCCATTAAGGAGAATTGTCGAAACAGTATATGGAAGGAAATTTTAACGGAAAAGCGTAGCTTTGAAAATAAAGAGGGAAGAATTGCTTGATCGATATAGTTCCAACCATCAAGCAGAAATTTCCCCTGAATACGATTCGGACCCTCCCCCCATTCGTTTACATCATTCAGAAAGTCTACAGTGGCTCTGCAGTAGGGTGTCATTAGTGTGGAATGTGCATGACCACGGTATCACTTTTAGTACTTTTTAGGAACACAAAATTCTGTCACAAATTCATTGCACATCCTCGAGAATAAGCCTTTGACATACGTTTGAGGGCTTTTCTTTACTTTAAAGTCTCAAGGCTTGTGTGCGAGGGAAAGACCGGGCCTGCATTCAGAAGTTAGACTTGATTTTTAAGGCATATTTACTATTTAAACAAAATTTATCTGATAAAATTGTGGTTCACTTACATAAAACAAGTGCTCCTTTTATTTAAGGCTCCGGTACACTCTGGCTGAATTAATCTCGAAAACTGAGAAGTACCGGGGCCATGCTCCGCCGCTATTTAAGCCCTGCTCTTGAGAAAAATTTGCTGTAATGACAAACAGGTATCAAATGCATTTTCATACTGCAGGTGAGAAGTCAAATTTTAAATTATCACTATGTAATCAAAATGATTCTTTTTTAAAACTTCTTTTTCTGACTTAACACAAATACCTGAAATCGTCATAATATGCAAAAATATTAAAATTGAAGAGACTGTTTCTTAGGACATCAGTTGGGAAAATTAAAACTAGTTATCAGTGCAGGTTTTGACAAAAGGTTTACAGAAAAACAATATGGCCAGTACTATTGCAAACCAGTTATGCAGAAAGAACTGGCATTCTTTTAGGTCAGCTTGCAAAGCTGGGGATGGGATTCTAAATTTTGAATTAACCATGTTCAGTATTGCTTCCTGTTGGCAAAAGTGTATGAGAAATATTCTCCATATAATATCTTCCTTGTTTGTTAGCAGAAGAAATTTATAGTAAAATTTTAAGACACTTGAAGCCTATCCCCATAGCACCGATATTATGAAAAAGTAGAGAGTTTCGGAAACTGGATAAATTGTTCTATCCACGTTGAGCAAACCCACATGATTCTAACACTTCAACTACGTACATGCAATTTACTGTTTTCAAACACATTGATACTGTCCCATGCATAGCAGCTCTAATAAAGCAATTGCTTTAAGATTTTCTATAAATGCAAGTACATTCATTTGCTATTCTCCTGTCCATCTTTGTGATTATACTAGCAAAATCTAAAAAAGATTTTATTTAGTACATATTCACAAATTTGCTATACCATTTGTGCCATCATTTTGTAAGTACTCCAATACCAGCTGTATAAATTTCTTTGTGATGCAGCGCCAGCTCGTACAATTTCATCATGAACATCAGCATCATTTGCAAGGTGTTTGCTTACCATGTTTTCTTTAGTGGACCAAAAAAATAATGCTATTGTTGTTGTTATAGTGTAGAGTGTATTTCTCAAGTCAATTCCACTGCCTCTGAACAGGAACCCCATTTCTAAACTTTGGAGGGACCTTGAGAAAATTCCTTTGATTCACTTGTGCATGGCTTTATGACAAACACTTCTTTTCATTAGCAATTCAGTAATCATTTAGTAGATGATATACCACATTCAGTTATTTTCTAGATGAGGCACTAAAATGCATCTTTCCTTTTCCTTTCTGCCATTTTATCATGTTTAAATTTTAAAATGTTTTAGTGGCACCATCAAAAAAATAATTAATTAAAAGCAGTAGATTGCATGTTACATGATTACTAACATTCCTCTGTGAATATCTTTTGCATGCTTAAAAAAGAAAACCCGAATAATAGCTTTTCTCTTATACAGTCATCGAGATCTGTCAGCATTTTCAAACTGAACTACACATGTGTGACTAGTAGTACTAAGTGACTAATGAAATGAATCACAAACAAGAATGGATCTGCCATCTATTAGCATACATGGAAAGCACTTGCTATTTCCAAATATATCACGAGAGTTTGTGACTTACTTAATGACCTTCCCTAGTAGTGTACACTGTTCCTATAAAAAAGCTACTAGAATTAATAAATGTTCTAAAACTATTAAATGCTAAATGTAATGATTTTTTAAAAATCTTTCTAATCAGTTTTTGCAGTTTAGCTCTTACAAAATATTATACATGAGAATTTTTTTAATCATATCTGATAAATTATTTGCAAGTCCTCAACTACAAATTAGCAATATCAATTTGTCCATAGAAAATAAGATAAAATGATTATTGAGTAAAAGAAAATTATGTAATAATAAATTCATGCTGTAAGTGTGCTTTAATATCAGCGGAAGGGAAATGTATGTCATTGTAAAATTTGAGCAAAAACAGCAGCTTTAGTTTGGCATAGATTCTGAATGAAACTGTGTTGATTTTGATTAGACAAGTCTTTCTTCAGTAACTTTTATTTCTCAAATTCAAAATAAGTAACTTAAATTATTAATTATTTAATATTATAAAAAAATTTATATGTTATTGCTGAAGTGAACATTTTATTTTTCTTCAACATTGTGTGTTTGTATGAGCAAATTACAGTCTACACTTGCCAGCTGCCTTTATTTCTTCAGTACTGGCCTCGGAAAATGTCAGTGTCTCAAGAAACTTAAATTTTGAACATGCATATAGGACTATATTTTACATAAGAGATGCTGGAAATGCTTGCTCAAAGTAACCTTAGTTTGAATGAAATCCTATCAGTTTTGATGATGATCAGAAGCAAAAATATTTTTGCTAACTTCATGAAATGTTTTTCATGTTAGTAATCATAAGCTTTTAAAATAATCCAGTCGTCAAAATAGCTTTAAGTTTATGCACGCAATCTGTCATTTCATGTCTATTTTCCCATTATCTTTCCATAATGTCTTGTATTCCTTTGACATACATATGTTTTATAACTTGGCTGAATGAAAACATTTTCTTGGGTCTAGTAATAAAAAAATTATGTACGTTTTCTGTTTGATGTATAAAAATGGGTAATTAAAATCATTATTCATTAAACTTATGTGTTTGTAAATAACTGTCATTTAAATACTTACAGCTATTATGTGGATTTGTTTCTTTTTTTTATCCTGGGATAAAGACTACATATCGAAGACAGTATCTACCATATCATCAGTTTTTTGGCATAACTATTTTTCTGTTGGCAGTTGTATCATGTCATTCAGGCATTATGGAAAAAGTAAAAGGGTCTTTGTAAGTACATGTAGTTCTTATTATTTGCAATATTTATATTTACATTCTAAGAAAACAAAATGGTACTTTCTGATTATCTGCATGTCTCTCATATGCTATGAATATTTTTGTTTGATTCAAATTAAGATTTAGATAATCTACAAAGGAAATTAAAAAGACAGTTATTTATATAAATTTCTTGAAAAAAATTAACATCTATATTGTATATTACAGAGGTAAAGAATATCTCAATATGCCAGCTGCTGGAATTGTTGCCAATTTCTTAGGAGTATCCATAACTATTTTTTCCATACTGGTTGTTTACTTAGCAGCCATGCCTCAATTTAAGAGGAATCCCTTGCCTGAAGAAGATAAATTTCAGCTAGATTTACAAGATCATGTGATACAGCTACCATAAAAAGCTGAGTTTTTCCAATTTTTAATGCAAAATATTTTCTCATATACGAGATATATGTTTGTAATTTATAAATTTGTTTGAAAATTGTTGAGCAATTTGCATAAATATCAGATTTTTTTTATATGTCTAAATACCTCTATATCTTTAACTGACATTTCAACACATGCTCAGGACACATGAAATTACTACTTAACACCACAATATTGTACAGTATAAATACGCACTCTATAATCCATGAAACACCATCCTGAATCTTACATGGATGTATTTATGGTCAAATTACTGTAAGAAAGCATACTGGACATAGTTGGTCTGTAATATTTCAGCATACAGGTGCATTTTTACAATTTGTCAAATTTGAAAATATAATGCTGATTTTTGTTGTTCGACTTCTGAATTAAATATTAGCTAATTAAACATTTGTTGAATCTTTGTAGAAACCAAGAAATCCAATGATCTGTTAAGTTCCATCGAAAAACTGGAGAGTTGGCAGCTACATACCTTGTTATAGTATTTTTAAATTCTATCAGTACCATTCAATTAAAACTCCATGGTGCTAATTTTATAACTTGTGAAAATTTAAGTAGAAAAAACAATTGTAATTTATTAGTTACAACACTGTCCTTCACAGCTAAATAAAAACTGGAAAATCTATTAATGCTTAGTGCTCCGCTATGGCTTAAGATGTTATGGAATCATTGGCATTGGCAACTGTTATCTGTAGTTAAAATGTGCTCAGTCTCGCTACTGTTACGATTGAAACATTATTTGACCCATTTTATGGTTAGCAACATGGAGAAATATAATTGTGATGAGAATATAGAGTTGAGTGATAGTGAAGATGTGTTTGATTTTTCATTGTTAAAAGATATTGTGGAAGACAATGTTGATTATAATTGACGCTAGTGGTTCCGAAATTATACTACCAAAGAGACGATGAATGATAGTTATTGAAAGTGAGTCGCCGGAAGACTTAGATATTCCGGATGTAGCAACAACACTCAACAAAATATTTATTTGCCCTTTTAATTTGAAGCCTTTCGAGATATTTTGTCTAATTTATATTAATTTCCTTCTCTTTAAGCATTTTTTCTAACAATTAGAAATTTGTCCCAATACCTAAACCAGTGTTCTCACTAGTTTCTGCGTGCTTTAGCTCCTAACTTGTCAACCTCTCCACAATGTACCACAACTTAGTTTTAACAGAGTTTATTTGATCTGGTAAAAGTTATTTTAGTGTATCGCCAAAGGTCATTGGACCACACATTCCTACAAATATTGTACAGCCAACACAATATTTTAAATTATTTTTCACAAACGAACTGGTAAATGAAATTATAAAAGAAACCAACAATTACGCAGAAAATGTTCTAAATAAAGTATCTAGTAATTCTATTCGGAAAACATGGCATGTGGTGGAAGAGAACAAGTTTTGGGCTTTTATTGGAGTTATTATCAATATGGGTATGATACCCCTGGCAAATATGCAGGATTATTGGTCAGTTAAGGATAATAGTCACATTCTTTTCTTTGGTAAAATATTTACAAGAAAGATTTATGCAGATATTCCGGATGCGAAAATGTGCCGGAGTTGCTGGTAGGCAGTGGTACAAAAACGTGTGAAGTGCTAAAGGTTAAAAAATAGAAAAAGATGGATTTGCTAGAGCAGAAGCACTTGCAACTTTAAGAAGTAAAAAAAAAAAAAAAAAAAAAACACTACATTATTCATTAAAAATTTATGTAGACACACTTTGCAAAAACAGCTGCCAACCTATACATTCTTTGGATGAATTCAACAATTTCAGAACTACTTTTGGATGAAAATAAGTTAAGCCTATGTAAAAATCATGAGAAATTCTAGGAGAAATATTTACTAAACTGGGTGAGCAGGAGTATAATCAAAATTTGAAAGATTTGGTACTTCTACGTTGCCTGCGCCCAACTATAAAAGAAAGGTTGCACTACATATTTTAGCTGCGTTTAGAGATAATTCTAATAGATCAGGTATAGTAACTCATTCCATTACCTAGAATTTCAGAACTAATTTTTTCTTTAAGAATCTATGGAATATGATCATGATTCTACAAAATTATATAAAAGGTTAAACATCACTAAGGCTAGGATTGCATATCTCTGAAGACAATTTTTTGGACAAACTGCAAATAATAACATTAATAAATAGAAAGCACCTCTAGATACTTCTAAAGTCATAAATATCAATCATAAGGAGATTCCCGTTTTTAAATTTGAGCATTAATAATCGTTATATCACATGCAATTGTTAAATTTCAAATCTATTCGTATAAAAATGTTAGCCATGAGAGACTGACCTTGTACAATCTTATCTAAAAATTGCAATATCCAGAAGAGTTGCAGACATTTTTAATTACATGTTAATTTCATTTTCATCACAATTTAAACTATCCATCCTTCCTTTTAAAATTATATCAATCTACAGTCTGATTTTAAACTGAAAATCCAAGAGTTTACAAAATTGGCATTCATGCTGCATTTGCTTTGTCACAATCAATACTTCCATAGGCATTATTAAAAAAATTCATTACTGCATTTCATTTAACCATTCACTCTCTTTGTAAATATTCTCCACAATAACTTCAATAATGGCTAATGATAAAAATCTAAAAGTATACATTTTTTACAGAAACAAACACACACACACACAAAAAAAAAAAAAAAAAAAAAAAAAAAGCATGGAAATTATACGAACACAAAAATTAGTTTGAAAATTTCAAGCACAAAAAGTTAGTGCAAAAGTAAACAAACATGTAACAAAATTTGTTTATTATACATAACTCTACAATGAACTGATAAAATGGATGGTACACTAAACACAGTTGTCGGAATGGTATGAATTCAAATGCATTTCTTATTTATCAAATGTGATCAGCAGATGAAACTGTGTAATCCAAGTTCTCTACTACTAAATGTCTTATGGGTGAATTAGTGAAAATAGGTTTTGATTTACATATCATATCCACCCATACCTCCCATTCCACCCATGCCACCACCCATGGGCATTTTCTCTTCTTTCGGTAATTCTACGATAACAGATTCTGCAGTAGTTAATAAAGATGCAACACCAGCAGCATCCATGAGAGCTGTTCGTACAACCTGCAACAGACAGGAGAAAATGCATTCATTAATTACATATTATATTTCAATTAATATTTTGATACAGTAAAATCAAATAAATATAAGTAAACCTTGTTAATATGTGGAAGATAAAAAGTTAGTTTTAAATATGAAATAAAGGAAAAAAATAAATCCGACTCCAATGTGACTTCATTGTATGTCCTATTATATTATGCACACTTTTTGTCGCACTTTATTTAAACTTATTTTCCTGTATTTTTCTTATTCTATCAATCCAATTCTCACTTTGTGGCAAGGCAAAAATACATAACTCAAACCATGTTCATTAAAAATGTATAAACAAAAGAATCTAAACACCAAATAGTTTTTAAAATAATTCTTTTGCAATTAAAAGTTTCTAAGCAAAAACTATTTGGTCAACAGGCATCAAAGATAAAATTTTCAGTACACCAAAATTTAAAGTTAACTTTTGACCTCATCTGGCAGAAAGACACTGAAGTCAGTTCATGGGCTTAATTCAGTATGCTAATAATTTTGTTTGTAAACTAATTCCACCTCATTAGGTTTAAGTATTTTCTTAAGTATTAAAATTTTAGAAAAGAAAATTCACCATGAATATGACATACATGGCAAATATAGCTCATAATGTATTACCATTATACAGTCAAGTATAATAACAGATGCCAACTTTTGAGGACAGCTACAAGTAATATGTAACTAAATCTGCAATACTTAATGTGGTATATAAGCATCGCCTGACTGATGGAAAGGAATTCAAGAGCATAAACAGGATATTACACCACACTAAACTCACATTATATATAATTTTACACAAGAAATAAAAAATAAAATAATTTCCCTGACCTGATATATGGTCAACATTGTTGCATATTTTGTAGCACCATACTCTACACCACCACTCTACACTGACTATATTTCTGGAGAATGTTCTGCGTCTTTGAAAGCATCTCGGTACATATATTTACCACAATAGTTTAATAAAATTATATGCAAGAATTACAAACATGTTGTTATAGGTTGATGAAGTGTATGTGAGCTCATATGCTTGCTCTAGCCACTCTTATGTGTGGTTTCGAAAATTGCTAGCGTGTACAGTAGATAAGCACAGAATTGGGCATTAAATGGCAGCATGCTAAAAGACATAATCTCAATCTTCCAATGCATCTTTCTGCATTAGCACACACAGCTTAATGAGAAAAACTCATAACAAATTTACTCATACATTCCAAACAAGTACCTCATAATCTTTAAAATATTACACACACTCAAATAACTGGTTAAACCATGAGCCTCTTCTCATACTCTTATAAATGTGATGCAGATTCACAATCTCTCTCTTCCAGCAACCAGATTCGTGAGTTTTTCAATTTTACATTAACACATGCTGTCCTTGTATTTTCATATACTGCCCAATCAGGATAGTGGTTAACAACACTGGCTGCCATATCAAAGGACCTGGGTTTGAATTTTGGAGAAGGCACGGATGTTTGTAAATGTAGAGTGCCTGTACGGCATGGGGGCACTCTAAGTATGCAGTAAGAAAAATTTCTCTTGATAGGTTGGTAGTAGTAGAAGACTCTTGGACCCATTCTTCACAGGGTGCTCTCACTCAAAATTACAGGCAGAATTGAGCTAAGGTTGGGCTGCCACCTATATGCTACTCAAGGCTCTAGCCGATGGCAGGCACATTTGAATTCTCACCACAATGAATGTTGCAGGCTTGTGCCAACTTTTCTCACGCAAATGAAATTGGCAAAATTTTCTCACGACACTTATTCAAACAATTTCATTTTCATGCATCAGTTTGACAGTTTTCTTCCCTGGCATAAAAAATATTGCAGGCTTATTCTCACACCGATACACAATACGAAAAAGCATAACTGCTCTGTATGAAACACTTAATGCACAAGAATTATGATGATGATATTTAGTGAAATTCAAATAAAACTGCTATATTATTTTAATACACCCCCCCTCTAGCTGGCGAAAAAAATCTGTCAATAATTTATTAACCCAATGCATCACCAAATGCACATTTTTAACCACATTCCACTTACAAGCTTCTGAAACTTGTTAAGAGCTTATCAATCAGTAATGAAACTAAGTTTATACATGTTAGTTCTCTAAATTTCTTTTATTCCAACATCGTGAACTTCAGATGGTCCTCTACTTCAGAACATTAAGCAGATAGTTTTAAAAGTTATACGTCTGAAAACTGTCAGTTTTACATTCTTGCATAATTGTTTCTGATAAACTGATAAATATGAGATTGTTGTACTCTTTACTGATAAGTATGAGAAAAGGCTGGAGAGACAAGGGTGAGGCACTTACAGAAGGTATGTCAAATTAGCTGCAAAATTTGCTTAATTTTAAAAGAAATTATAATTTTGACTTTCAAAATTGGAATAAACCGATAAAAATGAAAAGTTTTGTGTCATAAACAATCCAGCTGAATTGAAGAATTCATAACAATTTATTTTCAAAACAGATGAAGCTTCAGAGTAATGCATGTATTATTTTTTAACATTGAAATTTATTACTGAATAGCCATATTGAAGTTAATTTACACTAACTGTAACAGGCTGCATAGAAAATATTTTGCAAACATTAGCCTGTCTGCCATTAATTTGCACTGTTCCTATTTCACTACAACAAACAGTCCACTGAGCATAGACAGTAATGCAAATGCCGACAGTTTCATGCAGCATAACATTGACAGGCCTATTGGAATACATTAAGGAGACTATGCGATTTGAAAATGAAATGAATTTAATTATTAGTCTGATATATTTTTGCATAAAATTTGTCAATTACTAGAACGCATGGTTCGAGGTTTTGTTTTCTTATATGCATATTTAGTTTGCATGTTGCATGAGAACTGCATGCTTAATTTCATTTATGATTTTCTGAAGCAGACATACATTGTTAGATGGGTGAAATAAATGTGTAGGTAAGTTTGTCTTATATTTTGTTGACTGGAATGTGATATGTAAAGTAATATATAGCTTTGCTTTCTTTTTTTAAGCCCAGAAGAATTATCAATTTAGTTTTGGTATTTTGCGTCGAAAACTTTAAATGTTTGTTTCACTTTTCAAATTGTTACCACTAAATATCACTGTGTTATATTTAAAGAAATTAAGTAATGAAGAATCTGCATAAATGTATGCATGTTTCTCACACAGTGATAAAACAATGGTACTTAGATCCCTCAAATGTTAAATAATGTAATCCTCCACCAAATATGAGCATCTAGAAGCCCTAATTTGGAATTTTTTTTAAACACAGATTTTATATTGTGTAACACTTTAATGAATTTTTGATTAACAAACTCAATGATTTCAAAACGAGCAATGGCAACACTGTACGGGGAATTTTTTTAAAAAAATTCTAGCGTGCAAGACTATGTATCAGAAATTCTAAATATATGCTTATTTTAATATTATTTTGCGATATTGCTGTTGAACTGAATTTTACGGTTTAATGTTGAAGAACATGATATTTAGTAAATAAAAGTAATACACAAAATGTTAAAAACCGCCTCTTCAGGCGTGATGTAAAATCTGAATGCTTTCAGATTTATTTAAAGTTTCGAAGAAATAAAAGACAAACTAATTTTTTAGTATCTTGTGGAAGATTTAAAGGAAAATGTTCAATATAATTGAATTTGATACAAAAGAAGATTTCATAAAAGCCAGTTTTGTTCCTTGATCTTAGGTTCCCACATAAAACATATTTTTAACAAATCTAAAAAATAAATTTTTTACCAAGAAACTTTTAAAACTGCAGTTTGGGAAATGTTGAAATGTAAGGTAAGAGGCACAAATGAATGTGATAAACTGTTAATTTGAAATTAAAAAAATAAATAAACGCTGAAATCAAGTCAGACCAGAAGGAATAAGCTTATTCATTGCTATGAATAAAAATGTGTCATCATACCAAATTCTTATCATGCTCTTGCAATGAAACATATTGGAGGATACCGAGTTAACTGATAATGCAAGGGTAAAAGCAAAGATAAAATATGAAACATCATTAAATCTCGTTAATTTTAAATTTATACTTAAAATTACTGCACATATATCACTGTTTTTAAAATGTTACTCAGAAGATTGTTTTCTAAAAAAATTCAAACTGGTGATGGGAAATATGTTTCGATAGTTTTAGGAAATCAGGGTTTGTACACATTTCTGCACACGGAAATTAAGTACTTTTAAGGACCATTAATGAAAAAAATTAAGGACCTATGGAGCAAACGGGAACTGAATAAATTCAATTAAAAATATTATCTATGCCTGAATTTCACTTTTGTAATACCACCCTAAAAATAAAATAGATCCCTAAGTAGTATGCATTATTACTAAATATGAATTAACATAATTATTAATAAGTTTGAGAATAAAATAAACTTATGCAATTTATCAATTAGCATTAAATATTTTACACTTATAATAGTTGGACATATTTGAAAGAAGATAAGTGACATTTACGTTTTACTAATAGTTAGCTTTATGTTGATTTTTTTACGCCTCATTTTGTCACATACTTGGTCAGTCTACTTGGTTTCGTAAATAGCATTTAGATGTTGTCAAACGGCATAAGTTAAAATAAGAAGCAAGATCATAATCAGCATGATTCATAACAAAAGACTGAATGCTGTCACCGCTGCTGCTAATCTAGAGAGAGACATGCTGATTTGAACAAACCTGAAAGGCCTGATGTAGGCACGATGGTTGGCAAGTGTTGAAATTTAAGTCAGGCTCTGTTTGATGCAGTTAGTGTTCGTAGCTTTCGTGTAGAGTTTCCAAAGGTTTGTAACCCAATTAATATACTTTAAGGTGCCAACAAGCCATTAAAGCACCAGAGGTGATAAGTTGTTTTGTATTAAGTCTCACTAGATGCAAAGAATATGTTTTACTTGAATTTTTACATTTTTGTATTTTATCTTGGGACCACAGTGGATTGGATTATTTATTGCAAAGCACACGAGGACTATCTGCCTAAAGAGAGGGATACCTTCATGGAGAACTTTCTACGGGAAACTTGCTTGTATACACATTACACATGGGGAAAATCACATGCAGCCAGCCCGTTCGCGGGATTTGATGGGGAAAATCACATGCAGCCAGCCCGTTCATGGGATTTGATGGGGAAAATCATGAAAACACCCACGGAGCCAGCCCGTTCGCGGGATTTGAACCTTGGACCGAACTACCAGTGTTCAGCATCTTTACCGCTGGTGGGCCTGACCACAGTGAGTATTAATGAAAGGCAATAACTCACTCTAATATGTCAAAAAAATTTTAAGCCTAAACAGTTAGTTACAAATAATTAAATTAGGTAGGTTAATAAACTTAGTAATTATGGATTTACATGGCCACTATTAAATTTTATTTTTTAACAATATTTGTTAAAAAAGCCCTATTAAAATCTAATAAAATTTCACAGTTTAAAATACATGTAATTTATGACATTGATTCTTACAACGATATTAGGATAATTACACATTAAAAGCTACAAAACATTCATGTTTTGTAACAGCAACACAACAAAATATTTATCTGTCATTTTAATTTGAAGCTTTCCCAGACATTTTGGCTAGTTTATATCGATTTCCTTCTCTTTAAGCATCTTTTCTAAAAATGAGAGATTTGTCTCATTATGCAAAAACCAATGCTCTTGCTAGTTTCTGCATGCTTTATCTTCTAACTTGTCAAACTTTCCACAATGTACCTATGAGGGTTTATTTGATCTGGTAAAAGTTAAATAGTCCAAACTCCTCGACAAACGTGAAGCATTGCTATGTTTGAACGTAACTGCAATATCAGATAAAGGTTTAAATAAGCCTCTTATTTAAAAAGAACTTAAAACATAAAGGCATGTTCTGATGCTAACAAAATCAATTACGGCTCACGGTGACATAATTAAACAAGAACAGTCAAATTCAAACTAAAAATGTGGACTAGTGGTCAAAGATTATACAATTTAGTTTTAATTTAACCCTCTAAATGGCAAGGCTGTATATATATATGTCCTAGAATACATTTTTGTGATATCTGTAAGAATGTATATATATATATATAAAATGTTGTATGGTCTTAAATTCATTTAGTGCGAAAAGTTATTACTACTTGCGCAATTGCTACAAAGTTAGTTAATAACAATTTATTTCCTAAACAATATTGATTAATTGATTATGTTATCTCCTAAGTTTAATTAAAGTAGAATTATTTTAAAAGAGTGAATCCATACTGGTAAGTTATATTTTGAAAGATGTTTTGAAGTAATTTAAAAGCAAAATGTTAATAATGTTTTAACAGGGACTAGAGTTAAATCATCATGAAGAATAAAATTTCAATTGTAAAAGGAAAAATTAAAAGATGTAATCATTGTCATTAATCGGAAATTAGTTCGACTTTTCAAGGGGAACAAACCAATATATATATACGTGCATATTAAAATATGTCAAAGAAATTGAGGCAATATATCAAAATTACACAAATCCAGGTATGTAATACCAGGAAAATTTTTGCATTAAAATCAAAAACATAATTTGTTCTCATAGTAGTTTTGGGAAATTTGTGCTTTTTTAGCAAAAACTGTCCGCTCAGAGGGCTCAGTAACTCTATCATATGAGGAAATAGAAATGGGAAACTATAGGAAAGTCTGAAATTGTAAATAATTGGTAATTTATATAATAATAACTGCACATATCTTTGAAGAATAGTTTACTTTATGCATTTAGTTTCTTTCTTCAACACATTTCCTTTCCATTTTAGAATTTTTTGATTTAATTAAGGATTTCTGTTATTCTAAAAAACACTAAATGCATTTAGAATGTACAAAAAAGTGGCTACTTTTATTTCTTTAGTAATATGAATATTCAGAAGAAATATGAAATATATATGGTAAAGGCCATAATATTTCATATTTCTTCTGAACGAGAGATGATGTGACAGAATTTTTAGAATTGATTGACACACCGAACAAAAAAATCTATAAATGGCAAAAACTTTTAGAATTTAGAGCTGGCATTGGATGCATTTAGAAAGGCACTAGGCAACAGAATTTAGGAACCACAGAGATTGCATCAAGTGGAAAAATGCCCTGTGCCAGCTATGAGCATGGTGCATTAAGACATATTAAATTAATCTTTTAAATTGTAAGTTTTCAATTTCTTTATTAATAAAAAAAATTCCTTTCTATAATGCCTGCCCATGTGATAAGACTAGAAGCATTTTTGATATTTTCCATGCTTGTGTCTAGTGAAAAGTAGAGAAAATAAAGGGAAGATAAATATGTTAAGATTCTAATATCAGAAGTAAAACATTCAAATATTATGTTTTCATTGTTCTTCAAAAAGTAAGAAATTTATATCAAACTTTCTGTAAATACATCAATTACGTGTTGATACCATGGAGACATTTTTCATTTTGTCACATATTTCTCGAATCTTGTAGAATCGTGGCTCTATAAATCTTGCCTTCAAATCCTTCTATATTTTCCAAGCTGTAATGTTTAAAATCCTAAAAAAAAAAATTATCCCTACCAATTCTTTAACAGTAAAAAGGCCAGAAATATTTTTGGAAAAAAAAGGGAGGGAAAAAGTTTAAATTAATTTTATAGAGAAAACCTGATGCATATTCTAAGAATTCTAAATACTCTGAGACAATTACATGAAAAAATTAAAAAAAGAAGACATTTTAATTAATTACATAGCTAATTTTGCTTTTGCTAAGAGCTGTTTCGTAAATTGTGCTTTATAGTATTATACCTTGTTTATTTTTCAGATTCGCCAAAATGAAACTTTATAATATGACAGCGAAAAATAAAAAATGTTTTTTAATGTTATTTTTTAAATATAATTTCAATATATTATCATTATTTTAATGAAATTTATCAATGTTATGATGTTTTAAAAAAATCATTGAAAAATTCTCAGATCTCTGAATTAAAAATTTTCTATAGAAGCTGATCTTAAAATCGCCAAAATGTTGATAAGTCGCCAAATTTACAACTATTTAATAAAAGAATTCACATCCCCAAAAACAAAAAGTTGTTTAAGGGCTCTTTATTAGAAAAAAATGAATTTTGCTATGCTTATGTTTCACTTCTTGCTTAGAACCTCGAGTATCTCATCATTCTTATATTAGAAATAGAAACAAATTATCACCCATGAACCCATTCAAAAGTTACGTCAGTGAATTGCTAAAAATATTCTTCCAAAATGCTAATTCACATTTAAAATGGCAATCGGAAAAACAGACAGAATTTCAGACGATTAAAATTAAGGACCTTCCGCTGATTTTGGCCAAAATTAAGGATTTTTAAGGACCAAAAATCGATTCCAAAAAATCTAACGACTCTTAAGGACCGTACGAACCCTGGAAATCTAAATGGTTTCAACATGAAAATTACCAGTTTATGTTAGTGTTACAACTTTGTTAAGATTACAAAATCCCACATCTTGCACATTCCTCCAGTCCCAATACTTATATTTAGGAAAATTTTGTATGGCACTGATTACACATATGGTAATTTGGCCATCACCTGCTGAATTATCAAAACTTTCTTTCTAATGCTACTAAGTTCACTAGTAAGTAAAATCAAAAAAGTACCATAAATTTATATTAGAATAAAGGGCAATAATCAGGAAAACAGTACAACACCTGGAAGCACTTAAGTTTATAAAGGAAACAAATTATAAAAAGATCTCATGCATATGTGTTGTCAAATCAGTAAAACTCACTTTTGTAGGGTCAATAATGCCAGATTCAATCATATTGACATAATCCCCTTTCATTGCATCATACCCGAAATCGCCATTGTTATCCAAGACTTTCTGTGTAACAACGGCAGCATCAACACCAGCATTCATAGCTATTTGAGTGCATGGCATCTTTAAAGATTTTCTAACAATATCAATTCCTGAAAGGAAGAAGAAAAATTGGTGTATTTTCTCATCTAAATCAAATTTACAAAACAGTACAATTTTTTAAAAGTATACAATAAATTACTTAATATATTAAAATATGTAATTAGTATTGCTTCTAAAAGTTCGAAACCAAAATTGATGGTATACCTATTTTTTGATCCTCATTTTCATATTTGATCTTATCAAGAGCAGGAAGGCATCGTAACAGAGCAGTTCCACCCCCTGCTACAATTCCTTCTTCAACAGCTGCACGAGTAGCATTTAATGCATCGTTTACCCTATCTTTCTTCTCATTTACCTCAATTTCACTTGATCCTCCAACCTGAAGATAAATTAATGCATAAACATATAAAAGTGCTTTTACATATATGAATTTCTATTTAAATTCATTGCCTCAATTTTTTAAATAATTTCTTTTCTGGTTCAAATTATAAAAAAATTCCTTTCAAGTTATTAGCTTTTCTCCAGTATCTCACAACGAGCAAGTTAATTTGTATAGCAAACCTCAGTAATAAAGATATCTGAACTATGCACACCTCAATACGCAACTTAAAATTTTCAGTACATTTAACTTGTTTTTAAAAAAATGATGCTTTTTCTATAAATTTCTTACATCAAAATTATAACAAAAAAACCAACCTTTTCTAATATGCAGGTACAAACTTCTAACAGACTTGTAAAAAATTTGTATGACATGCCACGGTCAACTGACATATGCTAATATTAAAAAATATACCTATAACATAATAAACTATATTCCCACATCTGTACATTCATTACCAGTAATACTTTTATGGCATAAAAAGAAATTTTTTTTAAAGAAATACAACCTAACAGATATAAAAAAACAGAAAACGATAACAATACAGCAGTTGGCAATGCAACCTCAGTCAGAATTGACCCTTAGTTATATGCCATCAATTCAGAATTTTTATTCCCGTTGGGATCCCATTTTAAATTTTGGGGTCACGATCCATAGTTTGAATACCACTGGACATTCTGGTATTCTACACATTCCTTTAATGTAGAATACTATATAATCCAGTACAAGTATACTGGATTATATAGCAGCTGTATTTTATTGAAAATATTCCCATTATTTTCTGATAAATATCTAATAAATCAAGAGGTGTACTAAACAGAATGGTCATAAAAATTAAGCATCCTATCAGATTATTATATCCAGAAATCTCTAATTTATAGATTATCTTATTAACTTGAATTAAGAGGTTTCACAGTAAAAGAGTTGCAGGCTATTTTATAATCAGTATTATACAGGAATCCTATTTTACATTGCTGGTAAATACATACTGTATTTTCCACCTTGTAAGTCAACTCAAAGATTTTATTTAAATAATTAGCAAGTTACATTACAGATCAATTATCAAAGTTTGAAACCCGAAAAGCTCATTAACCTCTTAGGAAATACATTATCTTAATATTAACTTTATACAAGTTCCTTTCCTGAAAGGTTTGATGTAAAACACATTTTATTAATATTATTGTGACAGTATTTGTAAACCTACGCCTGCTTACAATTCCCCCCCCCCACACAATTAGTGCTGTGTCAAACATTTGGGCTTCTGTGCATATGTAACTACACATTCCTGCCTCCACATTTGAAAACTTAAAAATACAGTACTTTAAATGCAAATTTATAGAATAGAATGAGGTTTTTTTTTTTTTTTTTTTTTCTTTTTTACATACCTTTAAGAGGGCTACACCATTTGACAACCTCGCAAGTCTTTCTTGCAGTTTTTCCTTTTCGTATTGTGAAGTAGTTAATTCCATCTCATCTTTAATCTGATTAATTCGTCTATCAATATCTTGCTTGTTTCCTTTTCCCTAGAGCATAAGAAAAAAATTATACAAAATTTTGTATCATAAATATATAATATGACTTATTAATCTAACAATACATACTCTGAAAACTATATAAATATTGATTTAATAAACTAATTTTTATGATACATTTTTAGACGACCTGCTTATTAATTCTTGGCTTAGTAGAAGCTAAACTATAATATATTAATTATTCTCCATCATTTCATTATTTATTAGGTCAACACATATTAATCTAAATTTAAATGGATATCTAAAGAATAAGGTGATGCTTTTATATACAATTTCCTAATTTATAAATTAATATATATATGGTACCATATTATTTTCATCTATTAAGCTCAAAAACAATCTCATTACCATACATAATCAAAGTTTTGTATGTGCATTTGTGCAGAAACCAAGCATTACTGAAAATTATACAAGCAGATTGCAGTTTCAGAAAAAAAGAAAAATTTAGTTTTTATATGACAATTTACACCAAAATATTTCAAATATGCAGGAGCCTACCTTAAGTAAGAGAGTATCATCTTTAGTTATGACAACTTCAGAAACCTCTCCTAGATCACTTGGCTGCACATCTTCTAGCTTCACTAAATCTGCATCATCGCCAAAAACTATTCCTCCTGTTGAAATAGCCATGTCATGAAGTGTGTTTTTTCTGTTGTCTCCAAAGCCTGGTGCTTTAACAGCAGCTACTTGAAGACCAACTTTTAACCTACATGGAAAAAATACCAGAAAATACTTCAAAAACTAAAAATTTAAAAAGGACTTTTTTATATAATTAAAATAAGATACTAAAAATATATTAGACATGACAGTTAAAATTCTAAATTATGCTTTTTAACTGCAAAACTGAAAAATAAGATAATAGCCAGAAAATAAGTTAACAATATTTCTCTAGAAGAATAATTCCACAAAAAACCATTATGCATATTTTTAATTAAAAGCTATTATGAACCGTTTTCCATACAAATATTTTCTATTCATTAAGTGTGAAAAGTATTAAACAACTTTCTATGATGTTAAACTGTAGTGTAGAAATAATTAAAAAATCTAAAAAAACAATTACGTAATACTAGTATTTGACGAGAAAAGAAAATTAATAATTATTAACTTCATATAAAAAATTCATTTAGTAAATAATGGAATAGTGCATAATAAAGAATTTTATTTTAATTTGAGATTGTATATAATTTATTACCGTATTCACATTCGAAAGTGGTTTCACTTTTCTTTCTGTATTCTGAACGAAGTTCTAAGTGGTGGTGGTGTTTTTTTATTTTTTTTTATTTTATTTTTTTTCCCCCTTTTTAACATTCTGATACGACTTGGCAAGTAAGAGAATTCAAAATGACAGAAAACTTTTTCAACTGTATCTCATCGGTTGAACACTAAATTTTGCTCTACATCTAATAAAAAAAATCATGCAACTAATCTGTGGATTGCTTGTAATTTTGTTACAAAATATGTTCACAGAAATAAACAATAGCTCCTCAAAAGCACACATAGGCTATCTGCCTAAAGGAAGGGATGCCTTCATAGAGGACTTAAAGGATTAATGCACAATTTCTTCTTTTGGGTCAACTTTTTATGGTTTTTTTATGGAAACTGTCTCCTATTCACATTACAAATTGGGAAAATCCCCAAAACAACTGTGCAGCCAACCTGCTTGCCTAGGATTGAACCCAAGTCGAATTCCCAGTATTCAATGGTCTTACACCACTTGGACACTGATGGGCTCTTTTAAGGAAGTGTAAATGGCAACAATGGGTTGATAAATTGTAATCAAATATAAGATAAACACCTTCTGAAAGGTGTACAAAAAATTACTGTATTTCTTAATTTTTTTTCTTTCAGAGCAGGGAAATTTTTGATTAGCATTTATATATGTACTTTTTAATATCTTAAAGGATTAATGCACAATTTCTTCTTTTGGGTCAACTTTTTATGGTTTTTTTTTTATGTCACTGGAAGCATAATGCTAAACTGCACTTTTTTAAATGATTTATATTGCTTAAAAAGTAAATAACCGCAAAAATTCAATAGGACAAATTAAAAAAAAAATAATAATAATAATTTGTTGTTTAGGTTAAAATAACATGCCAAACAAGTATTAATTTAGAAGTCAAACAACAAAAATCATTTTGCGCTTTGGCAGTTGAGGATGATGGTTCAGTAAAATTATCAAAACTAGTCCTGTGAAAATTTAAAATATAATGTTGATTTTTGTTGTTCGATCTTTAAATTAATGTAAGTTTGTTGTTCTACATTAATGGACTATTGTACATTAATTAATGTTTAATGTACATTAATGTTTGTTCTACATTAATTGTTTGTTATTCTACATTAATGGTACTTTGCATGTGCAAGTCAGTGTACATTTTAGCTTCAATAATGTATCGCATCTTAATTCCATAATTCTGCACGAGTCAAGATATCAATCTTAGTTATTTTAGAAGTTCAAATTCCTCTATACACATTTGATGATATAAAAAGAAAGCAAATAATTACCTGTTTAATACCATGGTACTTAGAGCTTCACCATCAACATCTTCAGCAACAATTATAAGGGGTTTTCTTTTTGAATTAGCTAACTCCAAGGCAGGTATTATAGACTGTACACTAGATATTTTCTTTTCACTAAATAAAACTAAAGCATCTTGATATTCTATTTTTGCACCTAAAATAAAATTGCTATTCGGTTACAAATCTAACATCCTACTATTTGAGTAAATAACTTCAGAAATATTTTGTGAAGATTAAAAAATATTTACCTTTAGATGTATTTATAAAATATGGTGATATATATCCTCGATCAAATTTCATTCCTTCTATAACTTCCAATTCATCATTTAATGTTTTTCCATCCTAAGATTAGAAACATAACTCATTACAACCACCTACTACATTAAAGCCTCTCATCATTAAGTACATTATTCATGCTGCACCACAGAAGGCATCAGATTTTACACCAATAAAAATAACTGTTGAGAAGCAGACTGCATTAAGTCCATGATAATACAGTCTCACGAAAATAATCGTCTTTCAGTCTTAATACATTATACAATTCCTAAAGCATATCAAAGAATGAATGATGATCTAAACTCTGTTTTAAATAAATAATAAGTTCTACCCGACTGTTTTTTTAACGGTTTAATTATACTGAGCAATCATTGAATTAAAAAAAAAAGAATATTAACCGATGTTTATGCACTACCGATGTAATTCTAAAAAAAATAAACCTAAACAATATTATGTTCAATATTCTTTCAAGATCTTAAAGAATTACCGTATTTGACGGTATATAAGAAGCTCTTTTTTTTCCCTAAATTTGGTCTAAAAAAAGTTATCTGCGTCTTATACGTGAAGGACACAGGTTAACTTTCAATACTGAATGCTATTTTTAGCCCGGATAAAAGTCTAGACACACATAACCTTTTCTACATCTGTCATAATTATTTTGCGCATGCGTGAAATATCTGTCACCAAAAAGCGCCAAAGCTCAAAGCTGATGTCGAAGTTCGAACGGGTTCAACGCTCACATTACGTCTATGGAGCCTTTCCTTCTTTACATAGACTTTGACTCAGCCGACACACGTGTCGGTTTCGGTGCTACTCTGTATAAACGTGTCGGTATCGGTGCTTAAAACTATTTAAAAAAAAAAAAAAACCATGGAAAATATGATTACAGGAAACAAGAGATTAAGCTATACAATTCAGTATAAACTAGGAGTGTTAAACTACGCCAAAGTGCATGGAATCAGAGCAAGGCATTTCGGTCCACCACCTGCCGAAAAATGATACGCATTTGCCGACTGCAGGAAGATCAACTGAAGACTGCAAAAACATAAAAACATAACCTTTGGTGCCCTGCTCCATCTAAGCCTGAACTTGAAAATGCCATAAAAACGTAGGTGTTAGATAAGAGGAAATCTGGGGTAAGTATTTCAACCAAAATGATAATTAATGAAGCCAAAGGATTTGCACAGAAAAAAAACAGAAATCAGAACTTTTCAGGGTCTGAGGGCTGGTGCTACAGGTTCATGAAAAGACAGGGCTTATCAATGCGCACAAAAACAACTATTGCACAGAAAATGCCAGCAGATAATGAAGAAAAACTACTAGCATTTCATAGGTTTGTTATAATTGCACGCAAGAAAACTTCTTTTGAGCTCGGTCAAATAGGAAATATGGATGAAATTCCACTCACATTTGATGTACCATCCAACAAGACTGAGTATTAAAGGGTCTAAATCAATAACCATAAAAACCACAGGTCATGAAAAAACCCGATATACGGTAGTTCTAACATGTTATGCTGATGGCACAAAACTACCGCCATTTTTCCTATTCAAAAGAAAAACTTCAACGGGTGTAATTGTTCAGGTTCATCCGAAAGGTGGATGGACGAAGATGGAATGAAACTTGGTTACAGAACGTATGGGCGAGGCGACCTGGTGGACTCTTAAGAAAACCCTCTCTTTTGGTTTTGGATCAGTTTAGTGCCCATAGAACTGAAACCATAAAGAATAAAGTGAGAGAATTAAAAACCCAGATAGCTGTCATTCCTGGTGGACTGACTAGCCAATTGCAGCCTTTAGATGTATCGGTGAATAAGCCATTTAAGGAAAAAGTGCGAGAACGATGAAACAAGTGGATGGGAGAGCCACATCACGCACTTACACCCTCAGGTTGAATGAAGCGGCCCTCTATTTCACAAGTGTGCGAGTGAGTAAAAAGATCTTGGGAGGACGTAAAGGCTAAAGTAATTGTTAAGACCCTTAAGAAGTGCGGAATCAGTAATGCTCTTGACGGAACAGAAGAACAGAAGATGATGCATTATTCGAAGAAGGTGGATACTAGCGATGATGGAAACAGTAGTTGATGGACGATATTCTCGTTTTCGATGATGGATGATAGTGAAACGGATTTTTATGATTTTGAAAGTGATTTAAAGTCTAATTTCTTGATGGGCAATGTTTTCCTTGAATCTGTGTTTTTTGTTGTTGCTGCTTTATTTTGTATTATGTTTGATTGCTTGCCATTCATTTATTTATTCAGTATTGAAATTTACATATCATTTTCAAAATAGCTGCCATGTTAAATTTTCCTTAATAAACATATGTTTGGTAATTGAATTCAATGATTGTTTATTTGGCTTTTACAAAACGCGAGAAGTAAAAGAAACCACATTTCAAGTAATTGTGGTACCGCGCTATCGCGCAGACCATTGAAACTTTTTTTCCTTGTAAGTGGCCTTTTAAATAGGGGTGTGTCTTATATGCCATCAAATATGGTACTCTAAAATTACACAACTCAGAGAAGACAAAGCAGTGGCTCTCAACCTTCCTCTGCTCCATGCACCTCTTTAACCACTGCTAGATAATCACTCTCCCACCCCTCCTCTCCAAATTCAAGAAATACACATGTTTATTTAAATTTAGATTTTAGCAATGCGTTTTGTAAATTAAACATAAAAAGTACAGAAAATGTTGATAAACACCAAACTTAAACAATAATAGTTTAGTTAATAATAATAAAAGTAGTATAGCAAAATTAAATGCTTAACACCTAAAAAATTAAAAAGGTGCCTGCATTCCCCTCCTAAAACTATGAAATTCACCCCTGGTCAAATGAGACACAGAGAGGTCCTCAATATCTATCGCTACGCTCAAACTTTAACTTTGGAGAGAAACTCCAATTGCAAAACTCCTCCCCTGCTGTATCTAAGACAAAAGTATGAATCTGGCTGGAATATTCCAAAAGAAAAGCTTGCAGAATGACAAAAAACTAGTTGAAGATAATTATTTAAAATTCTTATTAGCATTTTAATGAAAAGTTTACATTTTAAATTATTTTAATTTGTGCAAGTCAAATTCCTTTCAAATTTACACCCTCCCAAAATGTCAAATCTATTCATGTTCCTGGATGCATATACTATCATTTTATAAAGATGGCTTACCTTTTTAGAAATTTTGGCTAGGTTCAGGCTAGCTTATATGAATACGGCAAAGACACGAGGGCCCAAGAGGAGCAATGGCTTTGATGACTTAAGGGTTGATTGGATGGTTTATGCAATTACGGCAAAGCCTCGAAGGCTATCTGCCCAAGGAATGGATGCCTTCGTAGAGGACTTTCTAAGGAAAACTGGCTCGTATACACAGAACACTTAGGGAAAAGCATGAAAATGCCCATGCAGCCAGCCCATCCACGGGATTGAACCTCAGATCAAACTAATAGAGTTCATCAACTTTACTGCTCAGCTGCTGGTGGGCTGACTCGTAAGGGAAACTGGCTCGTAATCACATTATACATGTAAACAACTTGGGTAGGATGTGGCTTGGGTGGTATGATAATTTTATATGGTTTTGGCTGCACACCTAACATTCATCTAACTGAATAAGAACAATAAAATAAACACCAAGAAGAGTTTACATTTCCTTCCATTTGTAAATTAACTCAATTAAAACTTACTTTAACAGTTATTACACCGTCATTTCCAACTTTTTTCATTGCACTTGAAATAAGTTCTCCAATTTCTTTATCACCATTAGCTGATATAGTAGCAACCTGTAAAGATATATTGATAAATAAAAATTTGTTTGCATAATCCACATCACAAAATTAATACCTCAATAACACTTGAATAACTTTACAATCACATTAAATTTGTTTAACCCTCTAAGCAGCACAGGTTTTTGGATCAGTCATGAAAACCTGTATTTAAACAGCCTTTATTAGCTAAGTTTGTATATTTACTTATTTTAGTTGGTATTATCATATTAAGACAACCTTTATATTAATAACCTGGACGGTTATTCTACGCTACGAGAGTCGACAGCAAGTTGTGGGCCGCCAGATGTCGCTGCTAGTAAAAAACAGGTCTGTCCGACATCCTATATTCTCTGAGTACGGAAGTTGTCGAAAGCGCGCGAAAAAGTGTTGCCGCGTCGTCAATCAGGGTTGTGCAGTTGACGCATTAAGTAGACAATGGCTTTGTATGTGTTTTCGCTGCTGATTTTTTCATATTTAAACGAAGAATACGGTCGTAGATCTCTGAATCGGTGGGCGAATTTAGAAAATATATTGATGCTTTTGCTCTGCCAAAAGATGTTTTCATTGCGTATTTCAGATTGCCAAAATTTATAGTTATTTTAATTTGCGATGAACTAAGAGAGTATTTGGAGCCACATTCAGAAAACAAGAACGCAATTTCTACTGAAAGAAAAGTTATACTATTCCAGAAATTATAGATATAAATTGTAATTGTATGCTTTAAAAATGTAGAAGATAATAAGTTTATCAAGCACATAAACTTATTATTATTTATTACATTATTATTTATTTAACACAAATATAGACATCCGATAAGCTTCTACTCGATTATGTACAGCAAGAATTACGTTTACTTTAAAATCTAACTGTTGAATACCTTACCAATAATACTGTGAACACAAAAGAATGTCGTTCATTATTACGCGAAATTCACACTACTGTAAAATAAAAATTTTTAAAAAAATTATAAAACTATAAAATAGCTTTATATCTTTTCAGTAGCTGTACTACTACTAATGTGATACTTTCAAAAATAAGTTTAGCTCAGAGGAGCTATTAATTTCGTTTTGCCATTTTGTGGCGTTTCACTTTTCAAATCGTTGCCACAAGTATTATCGCACTCTATTATATTTTAAAGAAATTAAATAATGAGGATCTGCAGAATGTATGAATGTTTCTCGCACAGTGATAAAAACAACGCTACCTAGAGCCATGAAATTATGAATAACGTAATCCTCCATCCTAATATAGGCATCTGGAGGCTCAAATTTGGAATGAGAATTTGATTTATCTATTTCATAATTTGTAAAGCATTTATGAGTTTTTGATTAAGAAACCCAACGATTTCAAAGCGAGCAATGGCAACATTGTACAGAAAAAACATTTTCATCTCTAGCGGGAGATTATGTATCGGAAATTCTAAGATATGCTTTTTTTTAAATTATATGATATTGCTGTTGAATTTAATTTTATGGTTTAAGTGCGGAAACATGATATTTAATAAATAAAGATAACACGCAAAACGTTAAATAATGGCCCTTTGGAAGTAATATAAAATCTGAAGGCTTTCAGATTTATTTATTTATTTATTATTATATTTTTTTTGCGTGTAATTTTATTACGTTTTAAAATGGTTTCTAAGTGAGGACTTTCTAAGGGAAACTGGCTCGTATACAAGTTACACATGTGGAAAGCCACAAAAACGCCGGGCTAGCTCGTTCCCGGGATTCAAACCTAGGACCAAACTACCTGCGTTCAGCGACTCTACCGCTCGGGGCTGGTGGGCTTGTTAGTAGAATTATACTGCATTATTATTGTATTATGCTATAAGTAACAATGCTATAAGACTGAGGGTTTATCATGGAATAATAGTACTTTTGTAACCTATTATAGTATTAAAAAATCATTGTTCTTTGCAAATTTAACAACAACAAAAAAAAAACTGTTCATAGCATTTCTCATTTTATATTGTAAAAGATATATTTATTATTAGTTTTCTATTAAAATGTGTCGAAACGCTGGTTTGACAAGGACTTCAACTGCAAGAGACCTACACTGATTATTTTTACTTTAGTACTTACACTGTGAAAATATTACTATATTTTAATATTTTCACAGAATAAAATCTTTTGAGAAGGAAGAATATTTAAACTGAGCAGTTCTTATATATATAAAAAATTAAAGTAAGAACAGCAATGTAATATAAAAAAAAAAAGGTGTTAGTAATTGTGTGACAAAAAATTGCAAACGAATTAATCACACATACAGGATAGATTAGTTTAATTTTGGTTATATATTTTATATTGAAAAAATATTTTCTTCATGTTAATTATAGAATAAATTATTTAAAATAAAGCATTTTGATGCGTGTGTGACAGTTGAATGCAGCAGCAATCAGCCATACTGTAATAGCGAATGAATTTTATTTCTTTTCCTGAAAGAAATAATTTTCACAGTAAAGGAAAATAAAAAAAAAAAAGGGAAGAAATATTTTCTTTCTAATGTATTATGTAAAGAAATATTTTTCCAATAGTAACTGTAAAATAAATTGTGGGAAAACAGTTTTAATGTAAGCATGGAAAAAAAAAAAAAAAAAAAAAAAAAAAACTTAGTTTGCTATTAGATTGTAATGCAAAAAATCTAAAAGGATTTGAAGTAAGCTTAATTCATTTACTTTTATCTATTTACCATTGCTTTCGTGGTATTCCATATCACTCTTTATTTCTTAGTCCTAAATTCCTGCGTTAACTTTCCCCTTAAAAAACGGATAACATAGCAGCATATTCTGCTGCGTGTTGGTCATAATACTGTTTTGTGCCATTTTTTTCGAACTACAAATGCAGCGTGCGAGTTAGTGAAATAATGGGAGAATATTCCTAGAACTTCAGCCAGCGCGCGCTATAAATTTCGTCACTCGTCTGTACTGCGATTGGTCTAAAGCTCCTTGAAGCCTTGTCCCCTTTCAGTAAAGTTAAATGGACCCACCCGCCCACCAACTGAGGACCACAGAATGGCTTTCTCCGATAAGTTGTTGATAGCTGTCCATACCGGTTTCTTTGAGTCAATATTGTTCGCTTAAGTTGTAGACAGATCCAGTGATCATAGAATAGGCGTCCTGCATGCGGCTATCTTATTCTTTGTCCCTTATCTTCAAACCCCTTTCTTGGAAATGGGCGAAACCTTTTGTAGCTGAATTCAAGATGACATTCTTGAAGTTGGGAAATCCGTGGACCGATTCTTCGAATACTTTTCTAGAAATTATACAGTTTGGGTATGTGACACCCGCATGCCTTCTCGCATCTCTCAAGATTTTCATGCTCACTTTCTTAGTCAGCATGGTACGGTATCTAAGTTTTGATAAAGAAATGAAAAGGTTGAAAAATATGCTAGAAACCATTTCAACAGATGATGAATTGAATCGTTTAGTGAAGTGGAGGAAGAATTAATAGATGAAGAATACAACAGCAATCATAATTTATCAACACACAGTGTTGCAGACACTGAATTAGATAGTGATATAGAAAATCAATCAATTGATGAAAATCATGTTGGTAAAAATGGCCTGATATGGAAGAAAAAGAAACTCCGAATGAATGTTAGGACTAGTTCTAAAAACATTACCTTCAAAATTCCAGGAAATACTGGTTATTCGAAAGATGCATCAACAAGATTGGATTCCTGGTCTGTGCTCAATGACAAAGACATGACAGAAATAATAATTCAATGTACAAATATTTTTAATGGAACCATTATACGATTTTGGACGAAATTTGTATATAATTGGTATATGGAATACCAGCTATCACAGGACCTACTAAGGAAGAAAATAACTATAAAGTCAGAACTGTGAGAAAGAATATGAGAAATTCCCCTGGATTTCCTAAGGAAGAAACGGGAAGCATATTCTTCAGTTTTTGATTTCCAGAAAAAACGATTGTTTCTTAGGCACCAAGGAAAAACAAAAGTGTTGTCCTACTATCAATTATGCACAACGACAATAAAATTGATGAAACCACTGGAGTACTAAAAAAGCCAGAGATTATTTCATTTTATAATTTAACCGAAGGAACAGTAGATGTTGTAGATAAAATGGGAATAGCATATTATACAGCTAGAGTATTGAAACCGTGACCTATGGTAATTTTTTCTCGATTTTAAATGTTAGCAATTAATGCACGAATAATCTTACTTTCTACAAAAGAACCACCAACTCAATTTAGAAACAGGTGTCCTTTTCTCAAATCATTAGGACTGAAGTTAGTAGAAGATTACTCAAATCAATGGCAGCAATAAATCTTGCTCCCTTTGAAACTAAAAGAAAAAATAATTTCACGAGATTGCAGCATGAAACAACCATCTAAAAAGATGAAAAATATTTAAAGAAGATGCGCTGAGTGCCCTAAAAACAAGGACAGAAAGACACTGTTTCTGTGCGAGAAATGCAATATCAGTATTTGTATGGAGCATATGTGTTAAAGCTGTCAGAGATGTGCAAAATAATTGTAAGTTAAGTACTTCATTTATTATATTCTTTAAAAATATTCTAAAGTTCATTGTTTTTTATGTTAATCCACATTTATACCCATGTTTATATTATTAAAGCAATTTAAAACGTGTTAACTGCTTTCAGGTATAACATACCCTTGTGTTCATAATTTTGAAACACGTGCTTGTGGGTTAAAGAAAGCAAAATATCTCAGATTATACGCTAATATATACCAAGTGACAAAAAATGTCATAACGAGAAAGCAAGTCATGGCACTCAGAGGGTTAATATGAACATCATCGACTTTTCAGAGAAAAATCTCATACATAGCAATCTTAATTGCATTTATAACACGAAACCTAACTACAATAAGTTTAGATTATTATTTTTTAATATTTATATTACCTGAGCAATCTCTTCTGGTGTTGTGACAGGTTTAGAATTTTTCTTTAACTCTTCAACAACTTTTTCCACAGCCAACATTACACCTGAAGTATATAAAAAAGCAACTCAATATCTTGAAATTACGAAACTCATTAGTTTTGGATTTTCCTTGTATTTCCAAAACATTAAATTCAAAAATAAAAATGGTTTACACATGCTCAATAAAAATATAGTATTATTAAAATGGATACTAATATTTATGCAGCTACTCAAAAATTTTGCGACACTAGCAGTCTTCTTTTCATTTAAAAGTATTTTACAGATAATACTGAATTTTATGCATAATAAGTCAAAAAGATTTAGAAACACGAGAGATAAAAAATATAAGACACCAGTGATATCATTTTAAATTGTTTCAAACAGTTAACATAAAATATTACTGTAATATTTAACAATGATGTTAAATGTTGCCATTTACCCAATTATTAAATATTACATCTTCAATTTTTTAAAAAGTTCAAATTTTTTAACAGTCTAAAATCAGTCCAAATACCTAGCCGGCTTTCTAATCACTCTCCTACTAATAGTTCTCTGCTCATCGTTCCTTGTTTTTGTGTTAGCAGAGTTTGATAGCTTATCTTCTTAACTTTGCCCTAGAGAATATCTGGAATCATATCCTTTTACATCTTTTTTCTGTGTATTAACTCCTTGTTCTGTTCCTCTGATATTCTCTTCAACAGCTGAACTGTATTCTCTAATGTCTTTTCTATTTCTTCTCAATACTTATCCACCCCGATCTCAGTATGCATGGTGTAGGCATCTTATATACTTCTTCTACAAGTGCTGGTTTCCAGCGATTATCTTGATATACCCTAACACAATCTCCTTTATTTATCGATGGTAATGTTTTTATATGATGATCATAATATGACTTCTGCTTAGTTCTTTCTTAGTTTATTTTTTTCTTTTACATTTTTCACAACTTGAGATTTAAGTAATTCTTTGGATGTAGGAAGAATCGTTCTTTTTCTACTCATAAGTCGTTGAATTGGTGATCCTAGCATCTCATTAGTTGGGAGTGTTCCTATGAGCTAACAATGCTAAATAAGGATCAGCATGATCTGCTTGAGCTTTCTTTAACAATTTCTTGGCTGTTTGTATTGAGTGCTTTGCTGATCCGTTCGACTATGGACAGTATGGACTGCTTGTTATATGTTTAAATTGGTATTTCTTTTCAAATTCTTTACTTGCAAACTGAGGTCTATTATAAGATATCACTATTTATGGTATTCCGTATCTTGCAAAATGAGATTTCATGTAATTGATCACTGTCTGACTGAATATCTGGTAGTTTAGAGATTTCAAAACAGTTGGAATAGTAATCTACAATTAATAAGTATAAATCTTTGTTAATCTCAAATTAATCTGTTGCAACTTTATACCAAGGTAAATTGGGAACTTTATGTGGTATCATAGGCTCTCTTATGTTTTTATTCTGGTATTCATTACATAAGACATTTTGAAATTTTATCTTCTATCTGCTTGTTCATAAGCAGCCAAAACAAAACATCTCTAGCTCTTTTCTTACATTTTTCTATACCAAAATGACCCTCATAAATTAAATTTAACATCTCTTTTTGCATACATAAAGGAACAATCACCCTTCCTCCTTTGAAAAATAAGTCATTTTCCATTGTCAACTCATTTCATTAATCCCAAAATACTTTGACTTGAGGCTCTACCTGATGTTTCCCTTCCTGGCCAACCTCTCAGAATACATTTCTTTAAGTACTATAGTGTAGCATCACTTTCACTTTTTTTCTTCAGTTCATAAATTTGGTCATCAGATGCTGGAATCAGCGTGCAAAATTTCTATATCTTCATCATTATCTTCTCCTGTTGTATTCAGATATGCCCTACTTAAAGTAGTCTGCTATTAATAAGTTTTCCCCTTTTTGTATTGTAAATCTAGATTATATTTTTGTAAATTTTAACAGCATTCTGTGCAATCGCTGTGGTGCTTTAAAAAGAGGTCTTTTAGTTATGCTTTCTAATGGTCGATGATCAGTTTCAATTGTAATAGCTTGCCATACATATATTGATGAAATTTGGAACATCCAAAAGTAATAGCTAAAAGTTAGTTTTCTATCTGAGCATAATTTTTCTGACTTTTTGTTAGAGCTCTGGAAGCATAAGCCATTGGTTCATTTTCTTGCAGTAAAACAGCACCTAATCCTTCAGAACTTGCATCTACTGAAAGAGTTACATCTTTATTAACATCATATAATTTCAAAACGGGTGCTTTTGCAACCAATTTTTTGTTTAGAAATCTTTGTTTTTCAGTCCAATGGCAGAGAACATTTTTCTCAAGTAACTTAGAAACTTAACTGTCATCCCACATAAAATACACATTACACTATTTCAGGAAGCCCACACAGAATACCAGACTATCATTGGCTCCAAAAGTAAAATTCCAAATATTACAATAAGCAAATTCATACCGAATATTACATAGTTCTAGAATTTCTGAAACTGATTAATGCAAATTTTCTTCTAATGAATTCAACCTTGAAAATTATAATTGTTAAAGGCATTTCCCATTGTTACAAAATTAGCCTTTTTAAAATTAAAATAACACAAAAATATAATAAAGAATAACAGAAATTTCAAGCTTTACCTTTTCTGAATTCAATTGGATTTGCTCCCTTGCTGATTTTTTCAAAACCTTCTTTTGCTATGGCTCTGGCTAACACTGTTGCTGTTGTCGTACCATCACCAGCTTCTTCATTAGTATTATTTGCAACATCTTGGACTAGTTTGGCCCCAATATTTTGGAATTTATCTTTAAGTTCAATAGCTTTAGCAACAGTTACACCATCTTTTGTTATTTTTGGAGAGCCCCAAGACTGTTCAATTATAACATTTCGGCCCTATAAAAACACAAAATTTAGAGCTTTAAATTACAGTTGAAACCAATATTTATTTTTTTAATGCATTATTCAGAAGCATAAAATATGACAATACATCCTTATAATGCAAATGTGTATTACAGTAAAGTCTTTAATCCGGACTCGTCGGAACTTCGGCGAATCTGGATTAGAGTTTTTTCTGAATTATAGATCATCAATTTAAATCTGGTAAGATGGCATGCAGAAATTATAAAATTAAAAATATGAAACCATAATTTATGAAATAAAGAGCAATTATGATCTAAAGGGTATCAAAATTTACCAAAAAAAAAAAAAAAAAAAAAAAAAAAAAAAAAAAAAAAGCTTAACATTTATTTGTTTACTTTATTAAACATTCCTTTCAACGTGCGCACGCGTAAAGCATACATTACGCATAGTCAAAACTAGAAAATTGTAACCAGAAAACTATTTGATGTGGATTTATGATATTTATAATGACGAGGAATTTGATTTAAATCATATCGGAGTACATCGAGATGAAATACTACATTTAGTAAGGAATTATAAGCCAAATAAAATAAAAACATCTGCCCTGAAGATGAGAACAGTGCTGACAGATCAACTTCCAGTTCATTGCACGCCGCAACGTTCAATTCTATGCTATTTCAAATTGCTTCGATCTACGTCAGAAGGTGTGCGGGATAAGGAATCTCAAAATTCTCGAATGACACACTTGATAGCAATCCTCTCTTCAACACTTAGACATGAAATTTGCAGTAACCCAAACGTTACGGTCTCTGAAGACAGAACTGTGTTAACCAGAGAACAGGGGCTCCATTACCTAGCTGACATGATGTCTGCCTTATACGGATTAAAGCCCCTGCCTCCAGAAGCTATTTATTATAACTAAGCAGAATAAGTTTACAGTGGCATACAAGGCCTTCAAGAACATAAGTAACATAGTCATAATAGACCCTAAAGAAAGCATGTTACAAGTAGTACCTATAGCATTCAAACAATAAACCGAGTATACTTTCATAATTTGTACTGAAAATACGAAATACTTTCAAAACTGAGTCCAACTAATTTAAATAAAAACTATGGTACAAACAAACAAAATATAATACATCCATTACTGTATTATACACAATTAATATCAATTAGATTCACAATTTCAAGAAGAACCATTCAATTTAGAAAAAATGCATAAAGATAAACTAAGACAATAATAAACTGCCAAATAAAATTTTTTCATATGAATTCAGAATTAAGAACCAATAACTTTGATAACTGAACAATATTATCATAAAATACACTGAACCTGAGATATTATTACAATACAAAACATAAATTTGGTTTAAAAACAAAACCACTTCAAGTAATATAAAAACTCTACATCAGGTTTGCTGGCAACGCGATAGAAATACAGTACAAGAATAATGCCAACATAAAGATATGAAAAATTTCCAATTCAAAAACCACATTCATGCAAAAATAAGTCAAAGAAAATTATTATAAAATACTGCCTTAAATGCACATTTTACAATAGAGAACTCAAGTAAAACCAATCAAATTCACAAAAACAGGTCAACTATTCAATTCAGAAAAGTGCAAAAAGGTATACAAAATAATTATTCTAGATTAGATTTGCTGGCATCGCCAAGACAAATGCAATACTAGAAAAATGCTGACATAAAATTTTACAGAATTTCAAAATCAAATACAAAATGCATTCAAGATTAAAGTAAAGAAAATTAATATAAAATAACTATCATGAATGCAAATTTTTATAATAGAATGCACAATTAATGCCTATCAAATTCACCAAAGCGAATCAATTCATTACAAAAGAACGCATTAAAATATGCAAAATAATAAAATTGTCTCAAAAGTTTTCTGTTAAATTTAATTAACAATTACAAAACTGAACAAAATAATCATGATATATATATGATTAAGAACGATTTCAGTACCATACAACAAATACCATGTGCATCACAAATAAAACTGACTGTTTGTACAATATAAGAAAGTAATAGGCTACAAGTAACCGTTACAATTTATAAGAGCATAGATGCATTCAATGTCAGATACGTCTGTTCTACGTAAAACCATTTCTAATTTTAAATCAGTAACATAAGTAGTGGAAACAACAAAACTGAACAATAATAAGCATTAAACACACAAAGTTAAACAATTACCATTATGCAGTAAAAATCTAACAGTCGCTGAAAGTCAATTACTCACTCCCAATAGAGATGATCTGAGAGAATTATTTACAGAAAAATTTAATTCCTGACAGAAAAGCATAATTTCCTTAAATTTCTTACTCTCACTAGTTTTTTAATATCAATTCAGCCCATTTTGGCCTGTGCTGATCTAAAGGTTTATTCAAGTGAAGTTTTTTAGTAAATGGACATTGAAAGTGTTCAGGGTCTCCCAACTCCCCGCAAGAATAAAGCTCAGTCGTACATAGTCCAAATCGAAAGAGATGTATTAAAAGGTCCATGACCAGTGAAAAATGAGTATAAAAATTCGATGTGCTTCTTTGACTGAGTGAAACTTTTGGAAAGAAAGAGAAGACTTGTCTTCCTGTGGAGTCATTAGTCCATCTTTCCTGCCGTTTCACAAGCAGTGTATTTAAAGTCTCGCTTTTCAAGTGTGAAAAGGCAATTTCGTTGGATTTTCAATTCCGTTGATATCATTAGCAGCCCATTTAGCTAAAGTATCTGCTTCTTCGTTGCCCAGTATGCCAACATGAGCTGGCACCCAGATAAGAAGTGGTCTTTCAGATTAATTAAATCTTAGCAATTTCTCTTGAATAACTTGTACAATCGGATTTCTATTCGTAATGTCCGAGATAGCCTGCAGACTAGATAATGAATCACTGAAGATCTTAGTCTTGCCCGATAGATTTCTTTTAACATAAGTGAGAGTACATTAGAGCAGCGTTTATCGCTAAAAGTTCTGCCTGAAAAACAGTATTTCTGTCATCAAGCCTTCGAGTCCATGTATATACCTTTTGAGTATTGTTAAATACACAAAATGCACAACCTGTTCCACGTTCAGTTTTAGAACCATCTGTAAATAGAGCAATGTCATTGGCTACTGGAGCCGTATAGTATAAATTCACTGCAGATTTGAGTTTTAAAGAGGCAGGATGGCCAAGATTAGATGGAACCCGTTAATTCATAATCATTTACTAGGTGATGTTGGTTCCATAAATCACCATTCAAACGTAATCGTAGGATCCGTCCTAAGAAAGAGTAACTTTGAGCCTGCAGATCTAATGGAGGTATACCCGCCAAAATCTGCAGTGAGGCTGTCGAGATTGTTCTATAACATTTGGAAATAAGTAATAGCTGATGCCTCTGTATTAAATTCAGTAAGCCACTCCTAGTTTTGTTCATATCAGAACCCCAAATAGAGACTCTGTACAAAAGAACTCTTTCAGTGATTGTTTTATACCACAGCTGCAAGATTTTTGGAGAAGTACCCCAATTAAGGCCCATAGTCTTTGTCATGCCATTCATAAGAACGGCACATCTCTGTTTAAGATTGGTTTGTTTAGTACATGTCACTGGAGTGCATGCTGAATTCACTTAACCTTCCGTAATGACTTCTGACTTATCACTCACATTGGGAACTCTTACTGGGCGAGTCTACGACAAGTCGACAAGTGCCGAGGCTAGCCTTTCAGGCTGCTACAGGTCTCAGTATATTCCGTTACACCATACTGGAAAATTTCGGCTTCCAGCTATGGATCCAAGTAGTAAAATTTCAATTCTTGATGGTACTGTGACATCGTGTTGAGTTATTGTTTGGTAGACGGATTTAATTCCTTCATCTTTAATTCCAAACAGGATTACATCCTCAGAGGCAGAATAAAATACATTTTTAAGTCCAAGGAAAAACTATTTTCTTAGAAAGTCCAATCTGAGTATGCTGGAATACCTGCTACATATGCCATGTGATGATAAATGACACATCCAAACATGATGTTAATGTTTAACTTTCCATCAATGTTGATTAAATCATTAGATAACAGGCTGCAGGATAACACAGGACAGTGTCCAGATGAGTTTACCTTCCAATTCTTGGGCCAAATCAGTTCGAATATTGGTAGTACAGTAAAAGTCCAGAAATCCGCAAAGCTTGGGACAAGAAGTTGTGCGGATTTTAGGTATTTTAGGACAGAAAAGATAAAGCATAATATTCGGACTAAAAGTGGAAAATAAATAAGGCATATTTGATACAATTAATTAAATTATATACATTATTGCAATAATTTATTATATGCATTAAATTATTACATATATAAATTGATTATATTATTCATTGTACTATATGTACACAGCATCGAGGTTTGCCGATTTCCCCTCATGCAAAGATTTCCGGTTTCAAATTTTAGTATTAGAATCACTGTTGCTGTAAAATTTTAACAGCTTTTCTTTATTTTTCTGTATACACAATCATGTAATGCCATACCATTCTGCTATAAATTGAGGAGTAGCACCTGCTTCCATCTTTTGCAGAATATGCACTTTTTGCGTTACCGTCAATACAACGTATTTACGTTTTTCAACATTGCAAGCAGTAAAATCATGACTGCGTTTCTTATCTATCATTGTATTAAAAAAGGCTGAAATTAAAAATATTCTTAATTTATCTACAAAATATCCGGATAAAAAAAGGCAGCACTAAACAATCTCGTGTAATAATAAAGCTCAGAAAATACAACAATGTGAATCGTGAACTTGAACGAAGAGTTGAGTGAATTGTCTGCTTTACCTCGACGCAGATTAGAGAGGAAAAAACTTTCTTATTTTTTTTTTAACTTTTTTATGTCAATAATTTGGTATTTCCGTTATGACTCATTATTATTCGGTAAGTATTTTTTCTTCGATATTTTGTACTCAATGTTGCGGTTTCCGGAACCTATAAACTGAATGTTTATGTTTTGAGAGGCAACGCGGATTTTCGGTATTTGACTGTATTCACTTCTGTACTGATGATTTATT